TAAAAATACAAATATTAATAACTTAAGTATATATGTGAGTTCATATTAAGCTGATATTAAAATGACGTAATTTAAACTTTAAAACAATTAATTTGTGTACGTTTCTTTATTTTATGTTTACTATAAGTAATATATGTGTATAATTATGTAAACTATACAATTTTATAAAAATAAAAATAACGATATACAGTAATTGTATTAATATGCCAATCATAACAACTGATGAGAACTAATCATGAAACGAGATATAGACAGTTATACGAAAATAATCTGATGTTTATTTGTAAGTTTAAATATATGTGTAATAATTATCTTGTACATAGGATTTCGCCAACTGCAATGTTATTTTATTATGAATTATAAATCTTGATAAAGGCCAATCTAACAAATAATATGTTTAAAATCATAAAATGATTGCCCATATTAATAACATTAAGTAACTACACCTTGGATAGTTATTGATTGGTAACCATGATCAGGAAGTTAAACTGTGACCATTTCCTCACCTGAAATCACTTTTAATGAAATAAATACTAAGGTTGTGAAGTTTAAAGACAAAAGGATCAAGGGAATAAAAGGAAAAATTGCTGTAAACCAAACGCGATTTTTAAAAAAATTTCAATTTGTTCTTAAATTCTTAGGTTATAAACATATTTTATATAAAAATTGCTGGCACCGATCTGTATTCCTAGTTATATAAAAAAATATTATAATGTAGAAGTTTAATCTGAAAAGTAATAATTATGTATACTTAAAAATAATTCATATAATTTTGTAATAATAAGTCACTTTTTGTCTTAGCCAAAGTATATGTATAATAGGAATATTATTTTCGTTTTAATCACTGTTGATTTCGAGTTTGATTTTTTCCCTTTAAAAATCACCACATAATCAATAATCTGAACTTAATTCAAATTCTAAAAAATCACGTAATCCATAAATCATCTTCTATTTCGTGCTCATAAATAAGTAATAATAATATTATAATTCGTATTTGACTTACCATATATATATATATATATATATATATATATGTATATAAATAATTACAACTACCTATTGATATTATTTTGCACATTTCACAGGTTAATTATATATAATTATGTCAGATTATTAAAATATATTCATACGTGAAATATATCATTCAAAATTACTGTTTTAACTATAAAAAGCAAATTACAAAAATATTAAGATATTAATGATATTGAATTTCGTTTGGAATTTTTAAATAATGTGATTTGTTTAAACAAATATTATTTGCCCGTGTTTTTTTTTTTTTTATATATACAGGTACATCAATTTAAACTGATAAATATTATAGTAATATTTAATTTTAAATTTGGATTATGAATATAATTTGTATCCGTATTTATTTTATGGTTTATACTTAATCTAAATGAAACATGAGTTCATACCATGGTCATAAACGTGTTAAATAATGTACCTTAAACACATTCATACTGCTGTTAACGATAAAATCAAATGAATCGACAGCATATTTTAAACTTCAGCACATTTTACGAACTTTTATATATTTATATATATTATGGTATAAACATTTTTCTGCAGTTGACAAATACCTAAATCGTCGCGAGTAAAATAAGTATGAAATGCATAAATAATAACTTAACAGTTATAAATAACATATTATGTATGAAATATTTGTACAGGCGCGGATCCAGTGGGGGTGGTAGAGGCGACCCCCTCCCCGTTGGCCATATCAAAATGTGTTAATTTAATTTGATGTACTATTAAATTGCATTATCTTGCGTAATAACATTCTAATGTATTATTATTATCATACGTTTTCATCTTTTATTTTTATAACTTAAATTAATGAACAGTCCATAAGAAAAATATTATTGTAACCGTATGATCGACGACAACCGTCAGCCAGCCAGCCCCAGCCGACACATAGAGTATAATTATTTATAATCCGCCCCTCCCGTTATGGTAGGTTGGATCTGTGCCTGTATTTGTAAGCTAATATTTTATGATTTATATAATATATATGCATAATATACTATCATCTTATATAGTTTAAATATGAATACAGTCTATGTTTTGCAAAAATGCAAATAGATATTTCAGTTTTTAAAATTGTTTTGAATAGATATCTAGTAACTGTTATGTAAAAACTAAAAGTTTTGATTTAGGTATTGACAAAAAATGTACTTAGTACATCGTGTATTGTTGAAATACACCTGGTTAGAAATATTTTTTCAATCTTAAATTTACAGTCATTGATTATCGATGCACAACATAAATAGTTTAGAAAACTATTTCACTTTTCTATAAAAAAAAAATATTTATACGCAAAAACTTATAGGTACAAGCAATCAGTGGCGTGCCGAATATAGGTCTAAATGATGCCCAGGCATCAAGTTAAAAAGGGGTGGGTGGTTGTTGGATAATAATATATAAATCACATAATTATCGTATATATTTAGGTAGAGAAATATTGATGTTTGAGTTCTGAATGAGATAAATTTAAATATTGGTGGGTGGGTGGTAAACTAGACTTTGCAATTGGCATCAAAAACATTTTTATCTCGGCACGCCATTGCAAGTAATATATTTATGGCTATAGAATATTAATAAGTTATAAAACGATTAGACATAATTAATCTAGCTATCAAGTTACCATATATTTATATTACATTTTGTTTATCTATACATACTGGTTCATGGTTGTATTAAAATATCTACAACTAAAGTTAAAATTTATATTTTGAAAAAACAACCTTTTGATATTGATTAATCGATATATTTTATTGTCTCTATAATATATACTCTATGGTATACTATATGTATATGGATAGTAGAATATTTTAGGTCTTTCTATCAGAGAACATTAAAAAAATACGGTCATCGTCAATGCCATCATTTTAGTGTTTACTAGGTTTAGACAAAATAATGAACGACCCAAATTATTTAATTACCCAGTTTATTAGCTTTCAGTCTTAAATTATAATATCTCATCATGACCGAATCATTATTGATTCAATCAATTTATTCATCATTCACAAAATCATTCATAGTTTCCATATACTATTTCATGGCACAGAGTACACACACACACACACACACACACACATATATATACATATAATATAAACACACTTGTATATTTATAAATATATATATGTGTGTGTGAAACTCAGCGATATAAACTACAAATAAAATGTATTATTGGCAGTTTTCAGCAACGCTTTTGCGAATATGTTATTTTTGTTCTTTATTTCACACTGTATTATATATTTCATTTGATTAATAAATGAAACTTAGAAAAATGTAATGTTTATTCTATGAATAATAATGGTAAATAAGTAAGATGCATTTTATATTTTATTTTGTGAAACACGTTCGGTCATGGTATGATTAGAATTTTGAATATGATTATTTGTAATAATATTCCTCTAAACCTAATGCATTTAGCATAAATTTTTTTAGTTCAAGCCTGTGAGCACCTGATTAGATTATTCACATTTCATAGTCTTATTACACAAAATTAAGTTAATATTTATCTAAATACGTACACTTAATTCCGTTATTATTATTATAATATCCATTTATATTTAATGTATATTTTATGATTTATATTTAAGCATGAGTTTTTAAGATTAATGTTATGTACAATGTTTTATACCAGTGTCACCAATGATAAAAGATTCACGAGGCGAATATTATAGTAAAAAATATACAAAAGCCAAGAATAGGATAAATTTAACGGGATTGTCAAGGACTGCTCTAACAATTTATAATCCAGACTTCAAAAAACTTACAAAAAAAAAAAAAAAATGAACTCTCAACATACACAATATGATAGGTTCAGTTTCATGTTAATTCAGAATTATACAATACATTGAAATTTTAAAAGTTTTTTCGTATTCAAGTATTATATCAAAAACTTAATATAAAATCAGACACCATATTTTTTCTATAAATTTTAATTTAATTAATATTATAATATTTCAAATATATATTTTTTCATACTCAAACTAAAACTTTTAATTTTTTTATAATGTTTGCGATTTATTACGATAAGACACGAGTCACAATTTGATCACTCCTGTTATGTACATTAAAATTCCAAGATTATACTCAATTATAAAATGGGTGGAATTTTTATAAAAACTAAACCAGGGCTAATACATTACGTTTGACCTCACCTCACGACGCTATTTTACGTGTTCGATACAAACTAAGATCTGATACAGGTAATGGTTGCCTAACCTATTTATAATACATTTGACTCATGTGATATCAGAACCAGATAGGACCGTGTTGTTTAGCCTGAATAATTTTCATTATCTTATAATTTTCGATTCCTTAAGTTATAAAATACTCTACAGGAAAAAAAGTTCGATTATTCCTACCATTCAGTGGTAAACTATTTTCGTTAATTTGTTTAACATATATATAAATGTATAATTTGTCATGAATTTATTTAAAACTAAAATAAAATTTCGCAGTTAAAAAGTTTTACTTTACATATATTACATATTATATGTTTAATGCTTATATTTATGTAAATATTGATTAAAATGAAATAGAAAATAGATGAAAAATATTTTGAAAAAAATCCACCAAAATATTATTTTTAATAAAAATTTTTTTATAGGATAAACATAAATATAAGAGAAACATTAAACAAAAATTCTGTAAAAGTACAAAAATATATTTACGGCATAAATATAATATTTATGTTTACGTATTCGATGGTTATCAATCTAAAAACTTAGGAAAATGCTGTTAAAACAATTGATATAGGTATGGCATACGTGTTATAAAAATCGCCACTACGCCACTACCCATAAATCAGCTCCTGTTACGGAAAAATATTGTAAGAGAATACCAAATGAAATGTTCGAAATTTAAATTATTCGAACGTGAATGCAAACGCGCGAAAACCTTGTTCGTATCGTCTTTGGTCACGATCAAAGCGCGCTATCCATGAACTCACGTGTGTGCATAACCTAACACAGTGATAACTTATCACTCGTTCCAAAATATTATTTAAACTTTTTGAGCAAAATGTGTACACTATTTTAACCACCAACGGTGACTTGGTCACGTATTTTATTAAAACTAAGCCCGTAGCGGCCAGCGCTTGTCCGTCAAGATGGGTAAGAAGAGTAAAATCGGAAAACAGCGTAAAGATAAGTTTTACCATTTGGCCAAGGAAACCGGTAAGTGATTCGCATTCAAAGCATAATCAGCATCGTACATTTTTCTAAATCCCTTGTGTCGTTTTAACAGGGTTCAGATCTCGTGCCGCTTTCAAGTTACTCCAGTTGAACAGAAAGTTCGATTTCCTGCAGAAGGCTCGTGTGCTCATCGATCTTTGCGCAGCTCCAGGAGGATGGATGCAAGTAGCCAAACAGAATATGCCGGTATCCAGCATCGTCATTGGTATAGATTTGTTTCCTATCAAGCCAATACCGGGTTGTATATGTTTATTACATGATATTACGACTCCACAATGTCAGTCGGCTCTCAGTAAAGAACTTCAGACATATAAAGCTGATGTTGTACTGAATGATGGAGCTCCTAATGTTGGTTAGTATTTTATTAATTCCTATAAGTATTGGATTCTTAACCTAATGTATTACATTTAATATTTCTAAGAAGATATAGAAATATTTTGGTTTTAAATTATTTACTATTTGATATAATAATATTAAATCAAAAGATTTGTGATAAAATAAATAATTACCTTTACATTGATGATTAATTTTTTATTTTTTCATAATTAATAAATAAAACTCACTAAGCATCAGATTAAGAACCTCTACTATATATTCTTTCATAAATGTATTGTTACATTTTATATTGAACTTTAACTGTATTCAGGTCAAAATTGGATTTATGATGCATATTCTCAATCTTGTCTTACTTTGAGTGCTTTGAAATTATGCTGTCATAATCTCAGGGAAGGAGGATGGTTCATTACCAAAGTTTTCAGATCAAAAGATTACAATGCCCTTATGTGGGTTTTTAAACAGCTTTTCAGAAAAGTACATGCAACCAAACCTCAAGCTTCACGTAGTGAGTCTGCCGAAATATTTGTTGTTTGTCAATATTATTTGAAACCAGCTAAACTAGACATGCGTTTTTTCAATCCAAACTATGTTTTCAAAGACCTAGAAGTCAAACCTCAAGTAATAAATTATTAATGTACAATAATTTCACATTATTACAAATATATATATATATTTTTTTTTTTAGGTGAAATTAGATTCTGAAAGTAAAACCTCAAAGAAACCTAAAGCAGAAGGCTATCCAGATAATACAACTATATTATATAAACAATTGCCTGTTTCAACTTATATGACTTATAAAAACCCAGCTATAGCATTACAAGATGCATATGAAGTAAAATAATTTATAATAATACTTGTAAATAATAAATCCTTAAATTTTTCAATTTAACAATTTATATATTATTTGTTTATTCAGAAAAAGTTATGTAAGCCATTTAAATAAAGATTTTCAAATTAGAACACTTAAGCTTATGATACTTCTGCCTAAATTTTTCCTTTCTTATTGATATTGTGCAATTTACTTACCCTATAGAATACAAACTTAAAATCTTTAGTGATTTACAATATAGATAACAATTTTATTAAATTTGTTTTCCATATTGAATTATTTTAATTATTTTTTTTTTTTTTTAGATTGTGTTTGATGATGAAAATATCGCCAACCACCCAAGTACAACAAATGAAATCAAAGAATGTTGCAAAGATATTAAAGTCTTAGGCCGAAAAGATATCAGGTCTTTAATGAATTGGTGGAAGGTATTCCAAGAAAAAGAAACAAAGGATGAATCTGAAGAAACAGATAATGAAAACAAGGAAAATGATATTCAACTTTCTGAGGATGAAAAAGAATTAGATGAAGTTGATAAGGAAATAAAAGAATTGCAGGTATGTTTTAACAATGCATTTCTTCAAGTATACGAGTATATCTTCTAATAAAATAATAAAAATTAAATTAAAATTAAAAAGTATTAATTGATTATTCTCATAAATAAATAAAAGTTTAGCCTGAAGTATTATTATTACTTTATAAATATATTATACTATTGGCTAAGCTTTTAATTATTTATTTATTTCTATATGTAAGCAATTTGTTTATTTATTTATATATTAAATATATCGTATTATGGTGTTTATTTAGGATGAAGAAAGAAGGGAATTAAAACGTAAAAAGAAGAAGACCAACAAAGAAAGAACTAAGTTACATACTAAAATGAATTTGAAAATGATTCATAAAGATGATTTAGGACCAACTGAAGAGCGCGAGACTGGTGTATTTCAACTATCTAACATAAAAACAAAAAAAGCTTTAGATTCTATTGTTGATCAAGAACCAGATGTAGTAGAATCTGAAGATTCTGATATTGAAATCAAACCTAAAAAAGTAAAATATGATCCAGACAATACGTACCTCGACAAATCTGGAATGTAACTATTAAAATCTTGTGTACATATTTATTTTCTTTTAAAATTATTATAACATTGATAATATTTTATGTAGGTTCTACCGTTCAGATGAAAGTGCTTCGGAACAAGATTCATCAGATGAAGTCGACAGTGATACTGAAGGATTAGGTATGTTGTTTGTCTATGTGAAAGATACAATTAATTAAATTGCATTTGTATTGTTAGGTTTTAAAGATAAAAATCTTTCATCAAAAATTTTACCCAAGAAAAAAGTAACATTTTCTGACCCTAATGAAAACCATCCTCTGATTACTGATCTGGATTATCGGGATGTTAAAGACAAGCGAACATCAAAAGCTGAACTTTGGTTTGATAAAGTTAGTGGTTATTAATCATAAAACTCTCTCATGACATTCATAAATATTAAAATTATTATGGTTTACAGGATGTGTTTAAAGATGTAGAAAAAGAAGAAGATGAAGATTATGAGTTAGAAAAAATGGTTGATGTGATTAAATCTAAAGGTGGTAAAATGTATAGAGAAAACTTAGATGATGATGAAGATAATACTAAAAAAATTAATGGAAAAATTCCTAAAAAAAAAATTGAATCAGAACAGAATGGTGTTGATAATGATGAAACTACAGATTCTGATTCCGAATCTGAAATAAGTGAGGTTGAAGATCAGAGTGCTGCAATGCCAATAAATGAATGGGATGACAAACCAGTTCTTACGCCAGCGGGTAAAAAAAAAATAACTATTTAATTTTACATACTTTATTCACTTTTGCAATGGTAACCAATAGGAAAAAAGAAGAAGAAGAGAAATGCCAAAGTTTTGGATGATAATGGTCTTGCTTTGGGTACTATGATGGCTTCCTCGAAAAAAATGAAAAGAGACATCATTGATGAAGCTTGGAATAGATATGCTTTCAATGATGAAGATCTACCTGATTGGTTTGTTGAAGATGAATCAAAACATATGCGCAAACATATACCTGTACCTAAAGTATGTCTGAAAAATCTCATTAATATTTATTGCAACTTTAGCCTCTTTGTAATTATTAAATATATGATATTTTATTTTAAGGAATTGGTGGATGAATTTGGTAAAAGACATGAAGAAATAAATATTAGACCTATTAAAAAAGTTGGTGAAGCTAAAGCCAGAAAGAAAAAGCGAGCACTGCGCCAAATGGAAAAAGCAAAAAAGAAGTTGGAAGGAGTTGTTGAAAATGCTGATGTAACAGAAGCTGAAAAAGCTAGACAAGTCAGACAGTAAGTGTTTAAGTGGTTTTCTTTTAGCAACGGAACAATTATTTTATAATTCATTTTTTACTTAGAATTTACAAGAAACTGAAACAACCAAAACAAGAAATTAAATATGTTGTATCCAAAAAACATACAGCCGCCAAAAGAGCAAAACGTCCAGCTGGAGTTAAAGGTCCATACAAAGTAGTCGATCCAAGAATGAAGAAAGACATGCGCGCTAAAATGCGTATGGACAAAAAGAAATCGAATAAAAAGGGTGCCAGAGCAAAACCACTGTCCAAAACTCGGCGAGGTCACAAATAATAGAAAATTTATTAAAAAAAAACACATTTTATTTTATTACAAGACAATTTTCCTGTAACTATTGTTTTTTTGTGAATATTCTATTAGATAAAGTACTTCATCTTTTCATAATACTGAGTTTTTTTTTTTATTCCTAGCGGTATTAAAACTAAAATTATGAAATTCTTAAAACAAGTTCAAACCATTAACCATGGTTCATAATTGCATTATGAAAATATTAAAATTCTGTTACTTTTATACCATTGTTTGGATAAATAATGTATTGGGTGGTGTAACTCAAGTACTTGCTAATTATAAAATCAGTGTTAACAAAGACTATAATTATTAGAATTTTTTGAGAAATGCACTTGATAAACTGATAAAAGAAACTATAATAATATTTTATTTTAAATATATTTAACTAATAAATTGAATAGGCAAAAGTAATCATTTTTACTTATTCTTCTTGCTGCATTATTTATGTTATTATGAAAAAAAAATTAAATGTAGTCTAACCTATTTGAGTAATTAATAACAGAATGTTTATTAGTGTACCGCGAGGTACTGCAATGCCATTCTTAGAACATTTTCATAAGACATTCACCGCTTAATATAATTTTAGTGCAGGAGAAAAATGAAGAACATTTTGAAATGTAGATAATTAATAAATTGGTTCAGTTCAGTACAGGTCCGTAGTCACGGGGGGGGGGGGAAGGGGGGTGGTTGCACCCTAGACCTGATTGTTGCCCCCCCAACAAAAGTTAATAATGTCATGACATTTAGTAGTTAGCATGAATGTAGATAGTAGGTTTTTACTATCTACAGCCGTGGTAGTTAAATATAATTTATTGCTTGATAATAATTTCATCGGCAGTAGAAGCACTGTTTAACATAAGAAATTATTTTTAGCAATATTGTATAGCATTTGCATTGGAAAATACGATGGCATCTGATTGATGTCTGACGACAACACCGAACAATAAATATAACATATCGAACCGTTAACATTCACCATTTCATTAGATCCTAAAATTCTAAATTTGGATGTATTATTAATGGAATTCAACAAGCAAAAAGATAGAAAATTACAACTGCTTTCGTTTAAAAAAAACTGGTATTCAAAAAATAATATATTATAAAAATATTCAAAATGTAATTATGTTCACTTTATTCTAATTCTTATTATTTTAATTTAAAGTACCTATTATAAAAATTACAGTATTAATAAATTAAAAATAGCATTAATATTGATTTTTTTCTAATGCCCCCCTACAATTTTGTTTGCCCCACCTGAAGATTTGGCCTGGTTAAGTAGACCAGTAAGGATGATCTTTAAAATTATAATATAACTAATAGGTAGGCTTAAATTACAAAATTATATTTGTTTTTCATTTTCTTAAAATGTATTTTATCATATAAATTTTCTCTAGAGGCTTTTTTTGTCTTTTTAAATACTATTGAATTATTTTCTTTCGTTTACACCGTTTGAATTTATTCCAATGCATTTCTAGAAAAATAATTAAATTTTGCTTTTCGTAATTAAAACTCTGAACATCAAGTGTAGGTTTTAGTTATTTTGTAGCGAAAAATAATGAGTAAAATACATGGAACGGTTTATAAGACTTTATTTCTTGACCACTTAATATTAGAAATGAAAACAGTTAACAGCAGTCTTCACCATAAGGAAAATATAAAGTGAATCATTAATGCTAGAAGACTAAACAGCGCGAAAAAAAAATAAACAGTACTCGGATATGTGAGAACATTAAACGGCAGTGAATCAAAGAGAGGACAATGAAAAAAGAACACACAAAGAGAGTTGCGCGGACGGCGGCCGCCCACCCGATGTACTACACCTGGTCTTGGCCGCCGCACGCGGACGCGTTGCCGCCGATCGGCCGCAACAACGTCCTGGGGCCGGTACAGTCCACGTTGCCAGTCACGTACTCGTCGTAGTTGGACTCGACCGTCCACACGGCGTTCCGCCAGCCGGCCACAACCGCGGTGGGCATCAGGTACAGGTAGCTGCGGTGCACCAGTCGGAAGCTACGCACGTCTAGCGGTCGGTTGACGTCCCACGCCCACACGTCCGTGGCGTCGGGCGCGCGGAAGTACACGTCGGTACCGCGGTCCGTGCCCAGCACGATCATATCCACCGGTTTCGCACCCACCTCGACCACGGAACCGTGCGTCACGCTCTCGCGGGACCACGAGTCAAGCGCAAACACGGTGCCGCTCTGCCGGTACGTGAAGTACACGTAGCTCTTGCCGGCCCGGCTGACGGCCATCAGGTGCAGCACGACGCGCCGGTGGTGGGCCGCGGACACGGTCTCCGGCAGCGGGATCGCATGCAGCCGGCTGGCGTTCACGTCGTACGCGATGATCGCGTGGCCGGCTGCGTCGGCCACGTACACAAACAGCCGGCCGCACGACGTGCGCCGGGCCACCAGGTGCTGGAGCGCGCTGCGGGGCCCTATGACCGGCGACAGGTCGACCGCGGCGGTCACGCGGTCTGCGGCCAGGTCTATGGCGATCAGCCGCGGCGGACCCATCCGCGATGGCCTCCGGCCCAGCACGCCCGCCGTCCCGGTGTCCAGTGCCCACAGCGTGCCGTCGTCGACGTACACGTCCACCACGTTCAAGATACACGCCGCCGTCACGTTACCGCCCCGGCACGACGGCCCGTAGCTCCGGTAGTCCGGGTACGGAAGGATATCCGGCTCGAAGTCCATCGCGTCCAGCCGAAACGAGCCCAGCGTCCACGGCACGCCCGTCCGTGCGAACCTTGGCATGGTGACGTACGCGCGTTCACCGTCCATCTGCACGCCGTGCACCAGGATCTTCCTGGGCTCGTAACGACCGCACCGTATGTCGTCGCTCTCCTCGGCCGCTGACGGCCATTCCAGGTTGGAACCCGACAACAGGAACGGTCCGTAGTCCTTGGCCGTCCTCGACGTTACTACCACCGACGACACGAACACGATCGTGTTCAACAAATACATTATCGTCGGAAGATCAGACCGATACGCAAATTTGATTGTGAACAGAAAAAATAACCACTTTGGCCACGATAACACATATGATGTACATACGCACATAGTCATGGAAACTAAGCTTTAAATAAAAAAAAACAGCATTAACCATAGTCGATGGTAACAGCAATGAGCGCATAAACGTGTGAAAAAAATTCAAATAAGATTCGGATTTTTTTTATTTTTTATTTTATTAAAATAAAGTAAATATACAACAATCAGACGTTTATATGATACCGATTTTGTTCGCGACATCTAATGCATCATAATCACGTGCTAATCGTACGTACGCCTTCTTTTTGCCGTCGGGCCTAAAAATTAAATAATAACAACATTAATGAGCAGTTGAAAACCAACACAAAATGTATATACATAAACTATAACTTTCAGAACAAATTTTCGATCATTTATTACAAAGTAAAATATGATATTCTCATAGTCATCATAGTACTATAAAATAAAACTATGGAATTAGGATACAAATATTTTATTAAGAGCTATCAGAACAAAATTTTAATCATTTATTACCAATAGGTAATATAAGATATTCTCAATAATTCATCATTTCATAATGACTATTTCATATGTGAACTCCATAGATCACTAATGCAATAATAATCAAACCTAAATAAGATATAATAACAATAACACTAATGAGTCATTAGTACGGACCGTATGCATAGCAATTTTATGTCACATAAGATAGCTATGCGACACATAATATTTCTTTTACGATTTTTCTCTTGCACAATGATATTTATGTGTTACATAGGCCATAAACAAACACATAAAGTTATGCGCTAAATTCCGCCACCTAAGTCTGAAGTGATACATAAATTTGTTATTTTTTACGTGGTATCAATATTTTTTTCGTCCTAAAAATATAAATTTTAAAGAATTATATTACTAAAATATAGTAGTATGGATGATTTTTAAAACTTTGTTAATTATGTAGAAATAGTTGAAGAATATTTCGACGAATTTGATATTGAAAAAATTCCAAGAAATTATATACGTAATATGGAAGATCCATTTAAAAAATACAATGACAATACATTTTTGAAACGTTATCGTTTTTCAAAACTGATTATCATGGACCACTTAGAAAATTTATTAGGTTTCCAAGGCAATAATCGAGGATTGCCTATACCTCCCATTCAAGTCATTGACAACATTACGATTTTATGCAACAAACTTTCTAGTGAAATACCTATCTAATTTTAATTAGTTAAAACTATTGTAAACATTTCCCCTCTTCGAAAATATTAGAAGCACGGACGAGTTTATTTTTTTCTGAATTGCTCGTTATTATATAAAATATTTTTATTAAATTAAAAATCAAAATTAAATATACAATTTTAAAAATATTAATATTATTCGTTATATTATTAATTTTCGGTAGTATGAACATAGTAATTCTGATAATAATAGTTATTATCACATAAACTTGTATATAGCTATGGAATATATAAATATCGTTCATGCAAGACAGAACTTAAGTCGTACATTAAAATAGTTATGGGCCACTTAAGCAATTATGTACGATACATAAAAAAAGGGCTATGCATACAGGTGTAAGTGTTACATCAAATAAAAAATAAATTTAAAATAATTAATTAAATTGTATGAATTTATTGTCAGATAAAAATATATCGATCATATAATTTAAACATCTGAGAGATTCTCAATAAGTCATCATATAAATTCTGTTGAAAAATTAAAATTTGTAATATTTTAAACATATATCCAATATAAATTGAATTATGATTACTATTTTTTTTTTTTTTTTGTTATTATGTATTAATTGTTAAAAATATTTTAAGTTTAGACAAAAATAAGAAAATGTTTTAAATACATGTAAGAAAATTTAATTTCTTTGTTTCAATATACTTGTACCATAAATACAATTTTATTTTGCACAGTTAATTGCATTAGACAATTTAAGATAATTATGGTTAATTCATATATCTAACTTAAAGGTTAGAAATTATATAAAAAAAAATTTTTAAACAATGTTTAAAAAAAAATATTTGAATACTTGGATAATCTCACTTTCAAATTTCTTAGAATATATCTACACGAAAGATTTTTTTCTTTAATTATTAAATATTAGGAAAAAAATATAAACTACAGTAAAACCCCCCTCATCCACAACTGTGGTTGACCTGACCGTAGTACTATCGATATGAATACTTTGATAAATTGATAAAATTTTGTATTCAAACATTTCTGTATATTGTGATTATCCAACCTTTTTCGCATCCAGACCACACCTCCAATCACGAAAGTAATGAATTAGAGAAATTTTACTGAATACAAGTAATAATAATTTTATTAAATTCATTTAACTAGGATATCAAAATAAAATCTAATGATTCAAAAATATTAATATAACACAAATATAAACTTTTAAAAGTTATCAGTAAAAATGTATCAATCATGAAAAATTAATTTACTTCAGAGAGATTCTCATGAAATCATCATATAACTTCTAAAAATATAACAGTAAATAATAAATATAATTTAAAACATATATTTAAAAATATAAATACATGTATTCCTTGAAATTTACCTGATCAAAGTATTGACTTTGGCCACATTGATATCGTACATCTTTTTAACGGCAGCTTTTACGTGGTGTTTATTCGCACGTAAATGCACAATAAAGACTAAGGTGTTGTTGTCTTCAATTTTTTTCATAGCAGATTCAGTAGTCAAAGGGAATTTAATTATATTGAAAGCATCCATCCTAATTTGTCATACAATATAAATATATATATTAAAATGTTGTTTATTTATTTGTATTACTAAAATTAAAAAATAAATATTGATTCTTTACCTATTTCTCTTAGGAACAGACTTCCTTGGGTATTTTGGATTTCTTGGTGGTTGGAAGGTCTTAGGACGACGGAAGTGGACAGAATACCTGATCTTACGAATTCTAGTTCCATGAGGTCCTTTTAAAGTCTAAAATAAAAGGCAATTTAATCATCAGTGAACATGATAATATATATCTCAACTGAATTTAATTTTCTAACAAAAGTTTACCCTGATTTTAGATTTCAAAGCTTTCTTTACAGCATCACGTTTTGATCCTACTTTAACACCCTTCTTTTCACCTTTAGCTAAATCAGCCTTCTTTTCCTTCCTGAGCTTAGCAGCAGCAGCAGCTGCAGCACCCTTAATTAATTTCTTGGCTGCGGCTGACTTTCCTTTAGTTGCCTTTTTGGTCTTATCAGCAGCTTTGGTTTCTTTCTTATCTCCAGTTTTAGGTTTAGCGGCAGCCTTAGGCTTATCCTTCTTGGGTGCTGCTTTCTTAGCTGTTTTGGGGGCAGCTGGTTCAGCTGCAGTCTTTTTAGCAGCAGGGGCAGATTTAGATGCATCAGTAGTCTTCTTCTTGGCTGCTACTTCCTTCTTAGGCTTTTCAGCTTCCTTCTTGGATTTATTATCAACTTTACTAGTTGATTTTTTAGGTGCTGGTCCAGACTTTTCAGTTTCTGTAGATGGACGTTTAATACCTTTGTCTGAACTTTTACCTTTAGATTGATCAGCTTTTTTGGAAGCTTCAGCCTTAGGTTTAGATTCATCCTTTTTCTTATCAGCCGGTTTTTTTTCGACAGGAGCCGGTGCAGCTTTTTTGTCTACTGGTTTTTTTTCAACTGGGGCTTTTTTATCAGCAACAGTTTTCTTTTCTGGTGCAGCTTTCTTTTCTGGTGCAGCCTTCTTTTCAGGAGCAGCTTTTTTATCAGTTGCTGGTTTCTTATCGGCAGATTTTTTTTCTGTGGGTTTTTTGGTATCAAGTAACGGAGCAGGTGCAGGTTGCTTCTTTTCTGGTTTCTTTTCAGATGAAGCAGCTGCAGCAGGCTTTTTTTCACTACCTGATGGCTTCTTATCTCCACTGCCTGATGCAGCAGGCTTTCCTAAAAAAAATTGAAATAAGTGAATATAGGTACTGCAATTAAATATAAATAACAAATTTGCAAACATATTATCATTTTAAAAACTTAAAAAATAAAAAAACAAAAACAATAGAAAAATAATTCTGAAGATAAGATAATAAATGAGTACTTGTATATTAAATTGTATAAACAGTTTAAACCTGAGTTTTAATAAAGAAAATATAATTTGATACTTAGATTAGATTTATATAAATCATAAGTCTGAAATGTTTAAATATACAGATATATTAGACCAACATATTATAACATTTAACAATAAAAAAATATTTGATAAGCATCTAAGAAAATTAATTTAATAAATATCAATTATTTAAAATCATGAAAAGTTCTATTTTATTTCTAACCGTGGACTTTACCTAGGATTAGATACTATTCGGTAAATCAAACAAAATAATTCTTTAATATAAAATGTCATAATTGAATAATAACAGTTAATATAAATTAAATAAAACAAACTAACAAATAATAAAAACTCACTATTTTTAATATAAACTACTTATATAATATGGTTATTTTTGCAATATGTAGAAATAGCTGCTGGACATTAGCATACTTTACACTTATTAAACTTTTAATGTCAACAACAGTATACATTTTAAGTACTTCTTTATAAAATATCAAAAATGTATTCTATGAATCGATTCCAAAATAAATAATATATTTTGTGTAGGCTGCATACACCAGCTGATGAATTATATAAAATTATATCCCCCTAGTTAATAATATATCTTTGTAAAATTAAAATTGCACATACATTTTATAATGATGTAACAGTAAAACAGGAACATAATTATAAGTTTACGCTGATATGGCCAAAGTATAAAAGTGACTGAAATATTATAAGAACTAAAAATACGGTAACTGCACAAATTTAAAAATTGTAAAATGTAATTTATTAAGTACATGATCTATACATTGAGAATGATTGTAAGTCATTTAAGTATCGCTGAAGAACGAAACACTTGGACAATGGACAATATCACATAAGACCACTACATAACATCCTAGGTTGTTTCATTATAATATACAAAATGAAATCTACCTAGTAGTAGTTACTATTAATTCAATCAATTTTTTTAAACACAATGATTTAATTTACTGAAAATAATTAACTATATGTCCAATAAGTCCTAGTCCAATTAGAACATGGTCAAATAGAATGCCATGTGCTTATGATGACGGCATTTAAGAAGTTACCGAATTTTCATAAAATAATTTAACGTTACCTCAATGTAATAAAATTATTATAAATACGTTCATAGCTACCTTTTTTATCGTTTTTGGGTGGCATTTTACGGAATTATAAAATATAAAACGACGTTCTACTTTTCTAAATGAAATAACGCGAACACAACTTTACAGTGAAGGAAAGAAAAATATCGTCGATTTGTTTATAACCTCAATTGACGGTGACGCGGTGATATGTCAAAGATATAACAATTGTGAAAAACCTTAAAAGTATTCCAAGAATAAATTAATAGAAATAAATTATAAAAACTCAATTAATTTAATCACCAATTCTGTTTTAATATTTTTTTATGGTATTTTTTACCTTTTATTATTTATAGTTGAATATTTAATGGACTGTCATAAATTGCTTTGATTTTAGAAGTGCTTTGAAATATTTTTATATCATTCATCTTTTTATCAATATTCTTATCAAATATTTAACACAATTTCAATGATAAAGAATTGTAGTTGTGAAGTTTATAGCAATTACGTAACTACTTTAGATAGTGCGTATATGTCTTACGGTTAACCGATTTCGTTTTTAATCAAAAATTTGTCGATTATCATTAGATCATCGATAAATATGCTTAAAGAATAAATATTTTTGGTTCAGTTAATTGTTTTTGACGTTGGGTGTAGAGAAATTTGAACAATGTTTTCATTAAAAACCGGTTTTTGCTATCTAAGCTTACTAACGTTGTTTGTAGTAATTTTTAGTGTTGAAAATGGAAATTCATCTAAAATAGAAAATATAAGTAAGTTTTCCAATTTATATAATTTTTTATATAAATCGAATATTGTAACGTTGAATAATCTCATAGTTACATAGGTAAATAATTTATAAAATACTATAAAGTTATTTAAAAATTAATTATTTGCCAAAAACATTTATTTCAAATAAAGTGATTTTTTAATATTACAATTTTTACTGAGTCCAAAAAATAACAGCTATCAAAATGGTAGATTGTGAAACAATTATTTGCTATTAATAATCTTAATTCAATTAATATATTTCTCAAAAAAAATTTTTTTTAGCAAAAATACAATATTTCCTACCTAGTTCTATAATTTTAAGTAACTACTATTATAACTTGTACATAATAATTTTTCAAATGCCAAAATGAATGTTTTTTTTATTATAGAAAATATCTATTAAAACCAATAAATTATATAATTACACTTATTTAAATATTGATTTGTTAATAATTGATACTTTGATTTTTTTATAATAATATTATAATAAAATATACTACAAAAAATATATTATGCTTTTTTTAGTATATTTTATTTTATATTTGTAATCATGTATTTGTGAAAGATTATCATTATAATTAAATTCATTCATTTTTTAATAAAATAAATTATATTTCAGATGTACCTGGTTCAGTTGATCTCATTTATCCAAAATTGAATAAACCTTACCAAAAACAAGATGAGTTAGTATTTATTAATTGATAAACATGAAAAATTCAACAACAAATTTGCTACTAAGTTTTATTGTTAAATTTATATTATAAATTAACAATTAATATATACAGTAGAACCCGTTTAAGATGCTCTCGCTTAAGACAATTTTCTGACTAATACTCTCATTTTGCTTCCGCTTAAGACATTATTTTTAACTGGTTTCTTGAAGAGTGTCTTTTTTTTCTTTTTTTTTTTTAAACGTTTAGAACCCAATTACAATTTTTTATAATTAAATACAATTTTGTGGACTTAAATCTATTAAAAAGAAATACAGTAAATAGAGTAAATAGTATATGTATATATATAAATAATAATATTAAAAACTATAAAAACAATTTAAAAATATCATTTAGACAATAATAATATAGGTAGCAGAAATAATTTATAGATACGCAATATGATTACAAAAACAATCAAAAGAAGGAAAATTAAATAGATCTATTTGGAAGTCATTAGTTATTTTCATTAATCTATTAATAGGTGAATCAAGTGCGTGATTAGTTCTTTGAAATGGAATGTAAAAAGTATTTGCAGATCTAGTTCGAAAATGAGGAACATTAAAATTTAAGCAGCTGAGTAATTCAGGACAATTTTAAAAACTATTTACTATTTTATATAGAAATTTCAAATCGGTGATTTTTCTCCTTACAGCTAGACCAGTCATATTTAATTGGTTTAATAATAGTGTATATTGTGAGTGTGGTTTACGTGGTATATTACATTTGTAAGAGATAAAACGAAGAAAACGATTTTGAATAGCTTCTAAGCTATGTATATGAACAACACTAGAGAGTGATCATACGACCAAGTTGTATTTCAGAGAAGAACGCACTAGAGAAAAATATAGAATTTTTAATGCATCGGAATTAGTAAAATCTTTTCAAGTTCTATTAATGAAATCTAATGTAGTAGATGTTTTTTTTTATTTTTAAATAATGTTGATTGAAAAAAAAAGTTGAGGCAAATGTAACCCCTAAATCTCAAATTTCAAAAATCCGTTTTTATACAATATTATTTATGGTATAATCATTAATAATTGAAGAGCAAGATCTAGTAAACGACATTATATTGCACTTATCAATATTTAACGGTTATTTGTTTATATGTCTTAAACGAGTTTTACTGTATTCATACACATTTAAAACCTAATTATTATAAACAATCACAGAATTCATCAGATAATGATAATATATTAATGTACTTATTTGTATTGTATTGTATTTAAATTTGAAATAGAAATATACTTGGGATGATGATATCAGTCATTTTTAGGTATAAGTTTTGTCTAATTAAAGTCTTAGGGTTTATATTACTATTGGTATTTATATTTAAAGTATATTTAAATTTTTATTTTAAATATTTAAACTTTATATTAAGTTTAATAATTTATTTTTACTTGCCACTTTTATATGGTTTATTATACATTTTATTTATATTATATTTTTTTCTATTTTTGGTGATCATACAATTTTTTGGTTATAGGTGGAAAGGTAAATATATGCCAGATCATTCAAACAAAGAAAGCTTTGGAAGTATTTCACGAGTTGTTAACGAAAATGAAGATTTTAGTGTTTATAGTATGCCAAAACTTAAGAAAAGTATGATGGGAACTATGGATATTAATTCTACATGCGATGATGGAAAGGTTATTTTTAACTTGGACATGCCTACTTTTATGCATGTTTAGCATATATATATACTATACATAATTGAATATTACATTTTATTAACATAGAAAACACAATTAAAATATTTATATGAATTATTTATAAATGTGTCCAATAACAATATATATCCATTGCAATATCTACTAAAATAAAGATAATCAAATTCTATTTTTTTTTTTTTTTACATCATTCATTGAAATCATCCTTTAATATATATTCTTAATTTTTATTTAAAAAAATTTTAAATATAACTTAATTTTCATTAACTTCATAATTTATAAAAAAAATAGTTAACGGAAAAATAGTGTATGTAACTTAATATTGTTTTGAAATTATCAGAAAGTTAGATAAGATAAAATCAAAATATTACTATGTTAAATATACTATTTTTAAAACTAAATATATATATACTCAAATATTTATGAGTAAGAAAACAGGATTTAATAATTATCTTTATCTTAAGATTTTTCTCAAACGGTATATCTTAAAGAGACATTTTGTATAGTTAATGCTGGACTTATACAATGACAGTTTTTTCATAAAACAATTTAAAACTGTATGACATATATGTTACGAACATTCAAACTAGTAATATAAATGCTGCGACAATTGTTGTCATGATACAAAAATATTTACAATAATACAGAAATGTATTGAACTATCTTATCAAAAATATCTAGATTGTTCGTACAATTAAATAAAATATTTTTGAATACGAGTGACAGCGATATAAAAACTAGTTGTTATAGTGTTCTCACTTGTGCTTAATTACTATTTTTTGTATTTGTTACTTATTCAGTGTCTTATATTTTGTATTTTGTATTCATTATTATATACCATGGTATCGAAACGTGAATGAATTGTGCTACTTTTTTCTTTTTTCTTTCTACTACTAAATTAATTCTTTTCTTTATTTTATTTTATCTATATCCAAATACATTTTAAACCCTATAAGCTATGTATAGTTGTATTGAACAGTAAACCGTGTCGTAAGTCCGCTTTATTTATATATTTATATTTATATCATTAAAGTTGTTTATATATTTATGTCATAGAAAGTTTGAGCAAAAAAAAAAAAAATGAGAAGTGTATGGTAACAAATATGGCTTCAAAGAAGGAAATTATATTGTGTATATAATGAAATGTTCAATCCCTCGCCAATTTATCCATATATTTTGGATGTAATGGATTATAAAAACAATAATTATTTTCATATTCTTCATTTAGTTTGAGGGTGTCCCCAACTGTCCACTTTTTTTTTAAACTTGATGTTGTAATTTTAAAGCTTATAAAAATAAAAGAATTTTAAAATTACCAGAAACCAAACACCAAACTGTAACTCTCAACTGTTTTGATGAATTAAAACAGTAGATAGTCATTTAATCACACTGTTGACGCTTTTTTCGGTTATGTTCAGACCAGCACAAGAATTGTTATGAGATTGTGTCTCGGAAATAAGATAAGTATACAACAGAAATGTAAGCTATCGTTCATAGTTAGCAGCTATATAGTCGTACAGTTCTGTTAAAAAATTGTCAATGTGTGAGTCTAGCTTAATTTTATATGTCTACACAAGTTATACTAAACTAAAGTGTTTTCTTCTATTAACAATAATTGTTATTTAATAAATCATGATTCAACTATATTTAAAATTTTGTTGATATTTTATAAAATATGCCAATTTTGATTTTAGACAAACTTAACTAGAGATTGGGATGGATCCCCATACAACTATACTTGTATGTTGAGTGATAGTTTACCAGTACTATCTGATGTTTCACCGTTATTGGAAAGAGAACTTTTGCCCAAATACTATGTGGTAAATACTATTATAAATCATTATACCTACAAAAACTCAATAGTTTTTATTAATCAGTATAAAAATAACATATTAATTATTTTGTTATTATAATTATTAAATATAACATTTATAATAATGCACATTTAAAAATTAATTTTCTATACATATAGTCTAATAATTAATATCAATTTTGCACATTTAATATGTCTACTAGGGAAGCATTAATTTAATTATATTATTATACTATATTTAATAACAATGAAAACCAACCCAACAGGCAACAATTAAAATACATTTACATTTGTATATTTTATTTGAATAAAATAATGTAATTTATAATAATAATTTAATAGTTAATTTCTAATTCATAAATTAATGTTTACTTAAATTTAATATAAAATATGTATTTGAGTAATTGTGACTTTAAAGTACTGTTTCGAGTTTGAATATTTATAATTATTAATTTATATTTAAATACATATATTTGTTCTGTTTTTCAGAAGAAAATTAAAATAAATTATTTCATTAGAAATACCTAAATTATATATTTTGTACAAGTCATCTAACATTCAATAGTAGGTCATGCTATTGATCACCTATACAATTTTACTTGACTTTCATAATATTAGTTTAAAATAACCATTATACCTTTAATTATCTGCTTTAATTGTCAATAGTTTAAAATATCGAGGAAATCATTATAGAAAGTAAATTATTCAATCATATAATGATTTAGTAATCAATTTTATTTATTTTTTTACTTTTGGTTTACTTGTTTACTTTCATTTTCCTGTAAAAATCTTTTTTTGAATATAACCATATAAAAAAAAAAAAAACTAAATAAAAAGAAACTGTTATAAATGGAAGTCAGTTATATTGGTATGTAAATTAAAATTCTAATAAAATATTTTGTATAGTTCATTTCATAGATTTTTAGTGTGGGAAAGATTTTTAATTATAATTTCATAACCATAATATTAACATATACCTATAATACTTTATTTTATAATTTTATCTATGAATCTATATAAAGTTTCATGAATTGTTCATATAAAATATAAAAAAAATGTTTCAATGTGTTTGTTTCTAAGAACATTGCAAAAAATATTACTGGATAGAGTGGATTTTTTCTCCTATTTTTATTTATATATTATTTATGTTTTTCTTTTTAATGACCAAACAAATCATAAAACACCAAGTGACTTATGTCATAACCGTATTCTATATTTTTCATATATTTTTCATTTTATTAATCTTGGGTAAAGTATATTTAACATTTAGATATTTATAAATGTTTATGCTATTTATCTATTTTTTTTTAATCACTATTACTAATAACAATATAGTATTTTGCTTAACATCAATATGCAAGGGTGCCGCCAGGAATTTTGACAGGGGGGTGTATTTTGCATAATATACGCTAATTTTTAAATTATGTTTAATTTATTTTAATAGAAATACGTAGAAATGTTTTTTCAAAATATATGTCGATACAAAGTTATTTTTGTTTATTTGTCGGATACAAAGTAATAAGGGGTATTGGTTACGATTAGAAAATCCGATATGCAATTGCATCCCCTTGCATCCCCCTTGCGGCGCCCTTGTCAATAGGTATATATTTTTCTTACTTAGTTGTTTATAATTTGTATTTGTTATTTGGGCAGAAAATAGCTTTATTCAAATATTATTGTTTAGCATTTGGCCCTGGCGTAACAAAATAAAATATATAAATAAATAATAACCAAATATTATTAATCTGTTTATACTTAATGTGATTTGGGGTTTAAATAATATAATACATTTTTTTGTATAAAGGTATTTTGTTTATTAAAAGATAAAAATAAAAAAACGGCAACAAAATATTTTGCATCCATCAGCCGGGAATCGAACCCGGGCCGCCCGCGTGGCAGGCGAGCATTCTACCACTGAACCACTGATGCTCTGTAAATGTGGAGAAAAATATTATATTTAAATAAAACTTACATACATTTCAATTTTAATAATTTAAAACAATTTATGAAATACTTTACAATTATTATTCCTATTTATTTAATAATATTATTTTTATAAACAGGCTAATCACGTGTGCATGAAAGAATCTATAGCATACAATCATGATATTCCCACATTGTAAGTACCTTACTTTTTGTTTCTGTACTACTAAATGTCTTATCTAATTAAATTGAATATCTAATGATGTATATTACTTATTTAGTATGTATGTAAGTATTAAATTTCAATTCTGACCTCATAATCACCTTTAATACTTGAATTTTTCTAACGATAAATAATAATAATGTTGAATTTATAAAATAAAGTCAATTTTACCATAATTATCTGTTTTTCATTAATGTATTCATTCTTCATTTGTAATTTTTATTATTTAAACTTAATCATTTAAATTGACTCTGTGATATTAAATATTATAGATAATGCTTTTTATATTAAACTTGGTATAGTAATAAAGTTTATTATAAAACCAATATAAAAATATACCATTATATAAATCAATTTTTTTGTCAAACATCTTTGAAATTATTAGTAAGTTAAATAGAAAAAATTCACAATCCTATAAGGTATGAAAGAAAAGGTTTATCAATTGATTTAATAGTTTTCTTAAATTGTTTATAGTGGTCCACATCGTCCAGCTTGGGCTAGGTATGGTGAATATAAATTTTTACCTAAGCAAAGATGGTTGCACAATTTGGAGGTAAATATTAATGCTATTATTTAGAAAATATTTTATTATGTATTGTATCCTAGTCAGTGCTTGGAAGGTTCCTTTAAAAAAAGAAAAAGTTCATATTCACGTTCATTTTGTTAAAAAGGAACTAAATCTTTTACCATTCCTGTGTTGAAGAAAGGATCTAGTTCCTTTTCTCGTTCCTAAATAAGGAACATGTTTCAACCATAAAATAATTTTAAAATGTTATCATTATAATTTATAGTAATAATTAATTTAATTAGGTATTGTTTTTTGGTTTTTATTTTTTAAATTTGTTTATTTCATACAAGGTAATTTTATACCTATAGTAATATTTATAACTTATATATATATTGTATACATAACTATTACAATAATATACATTAATAATTATGGGCTATCTCCCAAAATGCAGTATAACTCTGTTTTGTGTGCTACGTAACTATAAATATGAGTATAATATGCGGTCTACCAATGTTATGTGTTCTACCTAAAGCTGGGAATCTCCAGTCATTATTATTTACTTTTACTATTAACTATTACTATTATTAACTATTATTTACGCAAAATCGATAAAAAAATGTAAGGTACTAATGAAAACGTCTTAGAGAGGTACTTAGCCGAGTATTGGTGGTGAGGATTAAATAAAACTGATAATATTTTTGATGCTTTTCTTAGAGATATGAAATTATGCTTTGTGGATCCTTAATAAATTAAATTTTTTTTTTATTTATACTTTTAATATTGTTACGGTAGACCACGTCCATTTTGGTAGACCGTATATTGGGAGATTATTATGTATACAATATTTTTTAAATACATTTTTTTAAATACATTATTTTTTAAATTTTTTAAATACAGCTTTTATTTTACTTTAACATAATTAAGATTTAAAACATGTCATCAGTTAACGAAAATCTTTTTAAGGTTATAATATTTCCCCCAGTACTAAACTAGTGTCCAATTTATGCGCTTGATGGTAATCCCATATTATAGTTTAAACATTTCTTGAAAACTTTAAGAAAATTCAAAATCATTTTTATGTCTTTATTGTTAGAATATAGAAAATTATTCAACTGTTCATCAGACTTAACACTATTAGAATTACTCACATTATTTCCAAAAAAGTCATTAGAATTATCTTTATTTTCTTCTTCATTTTCATTTTGGAAATTTGAATTTTCGTTGTTTTCATTTTAAAATTCAGTTTTGAGCAATGCTTCAACACATAATTGTAATGTATTTGAAAGTCACTGAAGTTTTAATCTTGAAATCAATGTAAATTCAATCACAAGGGATTTATCAAACCATAAATGAATCTGAACAATAAAAGTTATAATTTAATCAATGTTTACTAAAACTAAAAATAATACACTTTAATTATTAATTAAGTATCTACTTAGGGAATTCACCTTATTTATAGAAGTATTGCTTAACTATATTGTAAAGACTTATGTTCCAGCACACTACTTCTTCTTCAATTAATATAATGTAAGCAATAAATATTTCATGTACATCCCAGAATTACTTTGTAAAAAGTCTAATGTATAAGCTAACGGAGTAAGTTTTTTCTGTTATTCTAAAAATGTTGTAATTGCTTTTAAAAAAATAAATAAACAAAGAAAAGAACGAAAAAAATTATTTATGAACGAAATTTCAATATGTTCCTATACATAAAAAAGGAACGAAATCATTGCAACAATTTCCTTTGAACACATTGCTTCTTAGCACTGATCCTAGTATATACTAAGCCAGGGTAAAATAATTTTAATTTTTTCAGCATGGATCTGTTGTAATGTTATACCACCCATGTACTCATCCAGTCTTAGTCCAACGTATGCGAATGGTTTTAAAAGGATGCCTTTTCAGGCATATTATTACTCCGTATAATTTAGTGCCTGAAGACAGAGTATGTATCATAATTAAACCTAATAAATAGAAATAATGATTTTAACCATACACATGTTTTACTAAATTTCATCTTTAGCCCATCGTTCTAGTCACTTGGGGTTACAGATTGTATATGAATGACGTAGACACAAAACTAGCCATAGATTACATAAAGAAATATGCAAATCATGCTAAAGAAACTACAGCGAGAGACGGACAATATGACCATTTATTAATCGATACTGCAGAAGTAATATCACCTGATGATGTTAACATTTGTCCAATGCCACATAAGCGTAGAAATAGAATATAATTATAATTAAATTATATTTCACTGGTAGTATTATAAAATAAAATATTGGCGTAATCTTTTATTCTTTTGAAAGAGTATACAATTTATTGTCTTTTTATATTTTTCAAATTAATATTATATCAACTATAATTTATAATTAAACTGGTATATTAGTAATACATGTACATCTTAAGTGATTAAATAATTTTATTTTTTAATTAATATTATTTTACTATTGTATTTTTTTATTTATTGGCTATAAGCTTTTTTGGGATTTAAAAAAGCTATGATATTGAGAACTGTTTAACGATTAACTGACATTAATTAATTTGAATGTATAAAATTATCTTAAGAGATTTATTAATGTTAATATTTTATTGTTTAACTATTTATGGGCTATTTATAATTTACATGTTTATTATTGTTTTATATGTTTTTAAATACAATTTATATAAATCCAACTCTTATTTGATTTAATTTATATTTTTATAAAAAAAAACATTTAAAATAGGTGATTCCTACCATTTAACTATATTTTCCTAAAATTTTTTATAGAATTTTCTTGTTATATTTTGTACTTATTTTATGTATAGTATTAAAATTATTTTTATATGTTTAAAGCTATCACAAACAATAATTATAAGACTAAACCTGTGATTATCATTCTAAAGTGAATTCTTATATAGACATTGTGATAGTTTTCTAATTTTTCAATAATAGGAATATCAATATTAAATCTTTATTTTATAGTTTATACTGTTTTTAAAATGTATTAAAATTTAAGTCTGAGAATTTTTCAGTTTAAAAGGTGCTTATTATCATATAATGTATTTAAAATCAAAAATCTTATATTTTTAATATAACTGGTATATTTTTGTCACTTAATTGCTTGAATATAATAACATATCGAACTTAATTTTATGAGAGGCAGAGGAGATGAATAAAAGCTCACTCAAGGAAGGTGAGGACTTAATTGGTTTTATCCTTTCCTACCCAAAAAAAATCCAAGATGTGCTTTGAGAATTAAAACATCATTTATTGCACCTAATATAGGTACTTTTTTTTTTAATTTACTTATTATAAATTTTGAAAACTTCCTAAAAATGTTGAGGCCTTAGAAATATAAAATAACTATCTAACATATATTAGGTACTATAAAACAATATGTAAATTAATAACAATAGGCAAACTTATTCAATCGTAAAATCATTTTTCTGATCTATATATTTTAGGCGGAAACAAAGATACATTTAAATGTTAATGTTATTATTAGCCTATTATGAAACAACGCAATACATCAAAAAAGTAATTTAAATAATAATTATAGAAGATACATATAAGTTATAATCTATAGCCTATAACTTGTATTGATCTACACCTGAATATTTTTTTTATATTTCATGAATAAGCAGATTGTCCTTTGTAATAATAATTACAATAGTTAACAAAAGTAACTTCTATAATATAGATATAAAATTGTTTTAAACATTTTTCAATGATATGGCAAAAATCTTTACAAATAATTATTTTATAACCAAAATTAAAATGATAATAATAATTATAACGAATGATATCTAAAACGCCTTTCCTAAATTTATCGCGAGATATATCAAAAAAAATCAAAATGTATACAAATAGAATTTGATACAGATAAAGATATAGGGAGAAAAGTTCATACTGCTAAATTAGTTATACATTTGAGTACAAAAAAAAAAAATAAATATCTAGTAAAATGTACTGGAACATATAACCCAATTTGAAATAATAATTCTGGAAAATGGATGTTATGATTAATAAGGCCATAAATTAATATTATATCAGCTGAATTACGCCTAATTTCATATGAAACTAGACCAAGTCCATCGAAGTGTTCGTAACAATAGAAATTGGAAGCTTTCATTTAAAAACTAATGTTTTTAAAAATTTTTACCGTATCTAGGGATAGAAAACGAGAATTTATTCCCGGACGTAAAATTATAGAGGTGTAATTTTTGTAATTATTAACAACTAATTTGATATTTTCAAGTTTCTTAAATACTGTTATTAGGTTAAAACTCAATAAGTACGATTATATATTAATTATAAGAAAAAAATTCTCATGAAGAGTATTTGATAATTGGTAATAGGGCGTAATTTTAACATTTTCCACGGGTGTAAAAATTCCTAGTTATCCTCTGATCGTATCTACATTTTCAATTTTTAAAATATGAGCCATTTATCTAAATTCTAAATGAGATCTAGCCAAAGAACAGTAAAATGATTTTAAGCGAACTGTATTGTTAAAATGAACAGTGGTTTTACTTAAAAACCCAAACAGTTTAAAAGCTTTATTGACAATTATATTAATGTTAAATTTAAAATCAGAACTGAAAAAAATACCCAAGTCCCTGATGGAAGCAGTGGTAAAGGTACATGGAAATTGTTTTCAGTATGGGATAATTTTTTTATGAACACATAATTTTCTAAAAATATCGTATTACCACTGTTCGGCGTAGTTCATTATCACTTTTGCTATTTATTATAAAAGTACGAACTATTATAACTAGAAATTATTCATTAGAAAATAATTTTTTTATTTTTAAAGTTTAAAACATCAATATTTATGATGTATAAAAATTAAAAACAGTACTTGAAAAACCTAAAATATTTTCACTTGAAATTTCATTATGGAACACGGCCCAGATGCCTTCTCCTCCTATATACACCGCTGGATGGAAAACACTCAATACTGAATATTTCATAATTAAAGGACTTATAAATTATAATAATACTATATTGGATCATTAAACCCATAACAATAAAATACACTCTGAGATCAAACGATCTGAATTAATACAAACTATTTTATTTAGTTTTCATTAAAGAGAAAATGACATTTAATTAATTTATCAGTATAACTTATTAAAATAGTGAAGACAGCAAATGTAATTTTTTCAAATAAATTATGAATAACATTAAAAAATACAATAAAAATGTAATTACGTTCGTAATCATCTCATGTTGTAGTTGGTAGGTACGTATAAAGTGGGAGTTACATAAAGCTGTTAGTTGTTACTGTTTAAAAACTCGTGAATCGTTTTAGTTTTAATTTTGTTAGCGTCGAGTGTGGAGTGTGCTTAAACGAATTGATTTATTTTAATCTTTATTATTAAGTATGTTTGTGCTGTATAAGTGAATTGTTTTTATTATATAGACATTTTCAGCTATGATTAAAGATAGACTCAAAGAGTTACAAGCTGTAAGTAGAATTTTTAATTTTTACTTAGCTATTAAAAAAAATATATTTACCTTTCAAATATTCTAATATACCTGAAATTAAAATATTTATCAGTACCCAGAAATATTAAATTAATTTTAATATGAATGTATCAGGTACTTGACGTTTTCATTGCATGATTCAAAAACATTAAATTTGATTTCATAATATATTTATCCACGTCGTTTGATATTTTGATATTCATATTAATTTTATCGCTTATTATAATAGTACAATGATTGTTTTATTATTTTTTACATTAATATTTTTATATTATTTCAAATATATTTTACAATTTCATCTATTAATATACTCGACAATCTCCAATTTGTTTATATCAAATAAATAATTAAACGATAATAAAAACTAAAAAGTTTTACAAATCAGAAATTATTTATTTTGATACATATATTTCCTAACCATATCGATTTTTTAATAGTCAAGCTTGAAGCTATTCATAAATAGACACCTAACAAACGCGAATATATACTTTAATTAAACGTTATCGAAATCTAACATCCATTATATTGTTTTTACAAAATATCTTCCCGTGATTTTCTTATTGTCTTGGTTTAATATAAAATATTTCTTCATTTACTTAATTTATCATCTATCTATATCTGAGTTCAGCAAATGCATTATTTAATTGTTCATTGTATTACCACATTAATATCGCAGTAATACAATATATAACCTTGGATTTCAAATATTTGATTGAGACACATTTATAATTATGAGTTAATTACACTTGTCTTATCAGCTGAAACTGTAAAAACACGAAGAGAATTATTTAGTAATGTACAGAATATAGAATTGTACAGACAAAGGAGTTTCTGGTGTTAAGACACCAACCAGAAATAAATCATTTTGAGGACACACTATATTTGTTTTCTACGACTTTTCAGTTGATTAACTATGTAAATACTCGTTTTGACAACCGAACAAATATAATCATTTCCAACTACAATCCGTCATCCTAATTTTGTTTGTGTGTAAAGTACGGATTTTACGAACGATGGTCCTTAAAGTTTGATGTGTCGTAGGTAAAATATGAATAGATGTTTTCCGTTGTTTGGGTCGCGTTTAGACAAGGCTCGACACGATTTTAAGGACGTAGGAGTCGTGGTATATACGATGATTCTCGTTGCTCATTACAATATTATTTTGGTGTACCTACATAATTTAAACGATACAATGCATTTATATGCACAGGTTGATTATAAACAAAAATTGCGAGTTTCCACGTAGAGTACGCAGTTATTTATATACCTGCACATACGTATATGATGTATAATATACAGTTTTTTTTTACCACACACGCACAATTGATGTATTGTTATGCCAACTGTCCTGATCTGTTGAAAATGGCACCAATTAATTTTCCCCAACACAATGACTTCAAGGCTTGCAGAGGTGAGCGCTGTTAATGTTCGGTGGTGCGGAACCATAAGGAACATTATTTTTATTGTGTTCGTAATAATTCATAGCGAATAAAAGGCTGTATTAGTCAAACAAAATACTGGAAAGAAAAAAACTATTAAGCTATCTGTTTTACATTATATTTCCTATGTTTTATAGCCTAGAAAAAAATAAACAAGAACATTTTCCGTAGAAGGACGATACACTAATAACATTGATGTAGTCGTATTATATACCTATTGCACAATATATAACTCTGTAAAAAAAAAACCCATAATCCAGTAGTTAAAGTGAAGATAGAATGTCGATAAAAATATAATAAGGAAATGTTCAAAAATAATATGTATAAAAATTTTATTTTACATGTTCGTGCAACTTTTGAAGTGTGAAGAATATTATGATTTTTAAACTATATGTATATTTATATTAATAAATTTGATAATTATATTCTATATATATTTAAAATTATCTACAAAAATAAAGTATTAATTAACTTATACAGATAAATCTTAAATTACTTTAACAATTAATGTGTTCAAGCCGATATATTTAGTATACAATTAAAGCATATATGCTTACATATATGTTTGTATCAAATATTTATACTAACATTTTAAATTACATTCATTACCTATTTACAACGAGTAATAATTTGACATTGTTAAATATTTTAAATAATTTAATAATCTACTATAGATCAGATTTTAATTGAACACTCATATTAATTACAAATAATTTTAATTAAATGTATTTAAAAATTAGGGTAAAGAGAATACGTGTGTACAATTTTTAGTTATAGTTGATAGTTTGGCGCGCAAAAAAAAATATCCTGATAAACCAGAAGAATGCAATATTAAATACATGAATTATTTTTTATTTATTAATTATTTTTATTTGAAAAATCAACGATTCATAATTTTCAGTAATTTACAGATAGTACAATAAGTACTTTAAGATTAAAATTAACTAATATAAAGAAAGAATAATATTGGAATTTTATAAAAACCTATTGTAAAACATCAATATGTGTATACTGATAATAATTTATGCTATCATAATAATTTATATCATTTAATTTCAATGGTGATAAATTATATTGATTATTTTAATGATAAATACATGCGTTTAAATCTAGAACGTGTCATAAGTTCAAATTTAAAGACCATTTTATAACAGAAATCTTATCATTCAAAATAACTAGTCTAACAAAATATTGTTATTTATTACATTAATTATTAATCATAACTCATTATATGTTTATAATTATCTGTGCTCTGTGCTATCATTTTTCAATTGTCAATACATGTATACACACGACTATATTTTCTTGAAATTTTTCACCTACTTATCGTATTTTTCCAGATGTCATTTTTTCAACAAACAATTTTAAAAAGATATTATTAAATTTTTAGAATTCAACTAATATACATATCGTATACACATACATGATATATGTAACTAATATTTTCTAAATTAATTCATGAGTGGAAATTAAGGAAATATTCTTTGTGTCTAAACGTTTAAATTATTAATATTATTTATTTACATACTATAAATTATTTTTAGTTTGTAGCTATGTATATTTTTTAAATTATATTATTTTATAACTACAGTAGAACCCGTTTAAAATGCTCTCCAAAGGATCAGTTAAAAATAGCGTCTTAAGCGGGAAATCGTATTACGCGGAAACAAATTATGTTGTCAAAATCAAAGGACTCGTAAAAATGAGCGTATTAGCCGAGAAATCGTCTTAAGCGAGAGCGTCTTAAACGGGTTCTACTGTAGTTGAGTATTGGAATTAAAATATTTTCTTGAAGTTCCTATCCGTTTCGGCTGACGGAATTTATATTTAATATTACTTTTATTTCTAACGATTTAATAATGTAATTAATTTGTTGTTGCACTAAAACAGTCGCGAAGATTTTCTACCAATATATCCTTCATCTACTAACATTTATTTTCCTTTTATTTTTCTCTGAAGTATAAATTACAGCAATCCATGTATTTAGTTATTCCTCATTATGTACCCCAGTTATTCTAATTTTCATGTTTTTATAGTCTTCAGTAATTATTTTTTCTTTTGCATTCTTTGAAGTACATACACGTTGGATAAACGATCTGTCTATGAGATTTTTAAGACTCGATGGTACATCCACAATTCCAACCCCTCGTTTGTCTTACTTAATATTTCAGTTAATGTTTAAGTTTCAGCTCATTTATAATATATTATAATTTATGTGTTTATGTCAGTGATAAGATGTATCCTTGTATCACTCTTATTTGTTTTGGAATATCGTTTAACATTTCTGTTTCTACACGTATAGCTAGAGACATATTTAGAGTTTTGACGCCCTAGATACAGTATTATTGCCACCCCTACACATGTTTTATACGATTTTCAAAAAAAGGTAATATTTATTATCAATGAATTTTACGTATATATAAACGTAGATATAAACAAGTGCGCCCAGGGATTAACTTAAGAAGACAGTATTGACAGAGATAGGTGGAAAAAAGTAGTAAAGGCAGCGAAAGTCCTTCAAGGACAGTAAAAGCTGAGGAAGAAGAAGAAGATGAATTTTACGTGATCAACTTTTGATAATATTATCATGAAAATAAAAATCGCTATAGGTCACTTTACAAATTCTTAAAATATTAAAATTTTTAGATTGACTAATGAAAATAGATAATGGATTAGGGTTACAAAAAAATACTCCCACCCTTTAATTCCAAAAAAATGTGCCGCTCGAGGCGATGGTACCCGCTCTCTCTCCCCTAAATACATTCCTGCGTATAGCTGAGGTTTGGTTCCATTATAAATTACTTATTATACTCATGTCCTTATCGTAAATTCCAGAAGATTCTAAATTTCTATCTTATTTGTTTTTGAAACTTATTGTATCTAAATATCTTAAATACTGGACAATGGTCATAGATAAAATGTAATTAAATGTATTATTATAAAATGATTATTATTTTTTTTCTAATAAACCTGAGGTACCTATTTCATATTAATACAATTATTGATAATCAATGAACATGTTATATTTTTTTTTCAATTAATTGGTTTACTGAGAGAAAGTGGAAATTAAAAACTACATCTTAATAATGTGTCTAATGAAAAATACAAAATTATATTTCATCATTAAGATAAATTTATTTTAACTATAAAATGGTTGACTTTTATTCTGTATTATAAATTATATTGATACACATAGATTTATGTTAATTAATAATTTAACAGGTAAAGGTACTTTCATAGAAAACCATATAATTGATTCTATAATATGGCGATTGTCAAACTTAATACGTCTAAGTTAATACAAATGTAATTTGTACGAGTACATAAAATAAAACATTCTTTATGTAATAGTACCTATAAATTATTTATGTCAAATCAGTTTTAAATTACAGTTGATAGTATTGATTTACCTAATACTTAAAATTAGAATAATAATTTATATTCAATTTTTCGGAGCATCCGAGTTGGGTCCCGAGTACTAGGGGCTAATCGCAGATAGTGTACTAGTTGGGTCCCGGATTTTTAAAAGTACTACACTAGTTGGGTTCTGAATTATTTTAGGTATTACACTAGTTCCTGAATATTTTTTGGCAAGTACTATACTATACTAACATTTTACTTCCCATTTTAACAGATTTAGGATTGTCTATGATCTATTTAGACCACAGGTAAGGTTAAAAATGTTTTTATATATATTTTTTTTTAATGGTAAAGAAGCTAAAAAACAAAAAAAAAACTATAAAAAACATTCTTAATCATACTTTTGGTCCATATCGATCATAGACAGTCCTAAGTCTGTTAAAATGGGAAGGAAAATATTAGTATAATATAGTACTTTCCAAAAAAATATTCAGGAACTAGTGTAGTATCTATAAAAATTCGGGACCCAACTAGTGTAATACTTAAAATAATTAGGAAACCAACTAGTATAGTAATTTTAAATTCGGGACCCCATTAGGATGCAGCCAAATTTTTGACTCTAAAGCAGCGATTCTCAACCGAGGGGTCACCAACAATTTTTTAGGGTCGCATTATGCGAAAAAAAATATTTCAAATCAACAACAGCAAAAGAGTCATTAAATTAAAAAAATATTAAAATTTACATAATTTTTATTTTTTTTCTATTAATTAACGCCAATCGGCTTTTATAATATACTTTTTTTGTAAAATATATACATAAATAAATATTATAATAACAGTTTGTAACATTTTTCAATTCTTACATTACAAAAGGGTCATAAGATTTATTAAAAAATATTAAGCCTTGTGATATATAGCTGTCTATAATAGATAAATAATTATGTAAGTTTTTAAATCTTATGAGAAAAAAAATGGAGCTTTTAAGTAAATTTAAGCCCCTTCCTTCTTAATTACTCCTATGAGTAATGATTTTCATGATTTTTATCTACTTCTGTTTGTTTATTTATATTTATTTATTTGATGTACTTTAACAATGTAAAATACATTTTGGCTATAATTACCTATAATTATTTTTTATGTTCAAACTTACTCAATAAAAATTCTCTAACCTTACTTAAAGAATTATTATTGATCACTTTTATGGATTAATTGTAATTTTAATAGATCGTTGAAGATGTGTTACCAAATCACGTTAGCAGAATGGATTCCCAAAGTAACATTAGAGGATTCGACAACGTTGCTCTGGATATTCAAGACTCCGAATACGGTTACATGGAACATTTCTTTGACCAGGTTAAAACATATTAAGATTATATAATATTATTTTATTATTATATGTTATTGATAATAATTAAATATCCAAAAACTAATTTAATTAAAACTTAAGTTAAATGGTTAGTACAGTCATCAACATTAAATATTTCACCATATACCTATTTTTATTATAAGAAATGCTGTTAATAGAAAGGTATAGAAGGTACATTTATGTAAATGATTATATTCATAAAAATAATTTTAAAAGTTGTAAATTTTTAATTAATCCATTGACTTCTGAACAGTGATTGCTATAGTGTTTTTTACATTATTATTTATACATTATCCTTATTAATTCTTACAATTTTACAAATAAATACACATTAAAATAATAGTATTATATATATATATAAATCTGTTTTGTTTAATAAGTACCTTATTATAATTATCAGGAACCGGATTAAGAGTTTATCGGGCCTGGAGCATAATAGTCCAAAGACCCTTAATCCTTATAATATTTATTACCGATAACTGAATTTTATTTCTTTAAAAAAATGATATAAAGGAATTGATTATACAGAAATATTTTTAACAATTTTTAATATTTGTTAATTTTCATTACATGCAAATATACTATAATATTATTTAAATTACAGATACAAATAATATAATAACGAAAATTAAAAAAATGTGTAACCAAAATAAAATTTAAATTTAAAATATTTTGAACTGGGTTTATGATAGAAGGCCCCTTTGGGACATTAAATATTACAGGGCCTGGCGCCCGAGCTCTTAGGCTCCGTGCTTAATCCGGCCCTGATAATTATTATTAATAGTATTTATAATCAATGGTTCTAGTATTAAGACTTCTTTTTATAATAATATATTTTTAGGTATCAAATAAAAAATATTTCAAAAAATTTACAGATCGAACTATGTCGACGAAAAATTTCACATATTAAAGAACACGTAGTACTGATGAGAAAATTACATGGAGAGTTACTACTTCTTGCTAGGCAAGATGAAAGTATGATATAGTCATAAATGCTATTGTAACCATCTTAGATGATCAATTTTCAATATTTTTATTAATTCATTTTTATTGTTTTGCAGATATGAAACGAGATATAGATTTAAAAACGGAAAATGTAAAAAAAATGGGAAAACAAGTCAGCACTACATTAAAAGGTCTGAAAAATAAACAGTATATTGTAAATATTTAAATGTATTTTATTATAAATTTAAGTTATTTAAATTAAAATTTTATTAACTATAAATTGCTGCTGTTTAACTCTATTGAATATACATAAAATTATTTTTATTTATTTCTATTTAATTATTTAATTTTTATTATTAATTTATTTAAATTTTATTTTACACTATAAAAATATAAATATTACAATTTGATATACAATGGTGTTATGGTATAATGAACGCTTACATAAAAAATCTTAAGAATATTTTATCAAAATAATACGGATATCAGTGATAATCGTATATATATATATTAGAGGCACATAATTGGGCAAGGTGATATCCGTAATAAAAAAATCGCAAATGGTAATCTGTAGGCTGTCCAGAGCGGATACTCATTTATCAAGGTCTTGGACTTAGGAAATGTCATATAAACAACTACAATTATTCTTTAAAACCAAGGCCCTTCAATGGCGATTCATAAAATACCTATACACGCGACGTCTTTAATTGTGTGACATACATTTAAGTACATTCACACTAGTAAATAACTACTTACCATAAGAGTAGATGAAAACTCAGCTAAAAAAAATACATTGTTGTAAATTGCTATAAAAATAATACAATATCAAAATTTTTCAATAAGTTTTTTCATAAAAAGCACATTTAATAATTGCTTAATCATTTGAATTGTATTTCCTATTTATCTACGGGATTACATGAAATGTATTACTTATTAATTAGTAATTAATAATTTTATTTGTAAAGGTATATTTCATTAACAAAAATAAAACATCATAATGAAATCTAATGCAATAATCGATTTTAAAATAATCAAAACAAGTAGGACTTTTGAAAGTTACTACTAATTCAAAAAATAATTAAATTCAAATTTACGAACAAATTATTATTCGTAGATATTAGTCAAGTATAAAAATAGTAGTACTTAGTAATCAGCATATACCACGGTATATACAGTGGTGAATCTAGGAGGTAAGTAATTATGCTTGGCTCAGGTTCTGTAGGTATATGGGCACTCTAATGTTTATGAAAAATAAAAAAGTTACGGACGTATACCGTATTTCTAACTACGTAAGAGCATTGCATTTTTATTTAACCCGAGCGTCAAATTTCCTAAATCCAACACTGAGAATATGGGTTCACAAAACAACTATAATAATAAGATAAACTTTATTTTATGTTTAAAAGTTCTACTAAAATTAATATTTTTGTATTGTGACTTCCGAACCATCTAAGAATCCTGAGACTACAATGTATGCAAATTATCTAGGCTGAAAATAAACCACGTTACTACATCTGTTCTGGAAATATTGTAATAATGCGAAATCTCGTTTTATTTAGGCTTAGAGAAACAGATTACCCAAGAAGAAGATGAGTCTTCTAATGACAATGAACAAGTGAGCGCCGCGCTGCGGATACGAAAAACTCAACATGCCACTACTGTACACATGTTGGTCGAAGCTTTGGCCGAGTTCAATGCTGAGCAAATCGACTACAAGGAAAAATGCGAAGAACGAATGCAAAAAGTCGTGTCCATCGGTGAGGATAGAACTTTGAAACATTATCGTTAACAATGGAGTATTTTTAAAGTTTTTGTTGTGGGAAGATTTTAAATGTTTTTAAAAAATAAGTGATTTTATAATATTATAAAAAATACACATAAGGTATGAATTAATAATTATATTATTCTATTATTATTATAAATACAAATTAAGAATTATTTACAACATGATATAAATGTTCTTTTTCTCTGTACCTTCGTGTCATATAATTTATGATTTTTGAACCTTTTTTTTCTTCTAGGAGGGTCGAGACACAGGAACCCTCCTCTATCAAAACAATACGCCATTGATTATTAAAGTATAGTTATTAAGGTTTTAATGACTTTTATAAAATTGTGTTTCTTGTTCAATAGCAAAAGCTGAAATATCCAATGACCAATTTGACGAACTAGTTAGCCAAGGCAACTACTCAGCCGTGTTTAACGGAAACGTAAGAACGATCGCGGCTTTCACGATGGCACGTGCTTGAAACGAAAAAATAATTATTATAACAGACGTGTGTGATTTTTTAGATCATAGCTGAAACGCTTGAGGCCAGGAGAACGCTGGAGGAAGTCCAAGACAGGCACATGGAGTTGATAAAATTGGAAAAGAGCATCCAAGACCTTCGAGATATGTTTGTTGAAATGGCTTTGTTAGTCGAAAAGCAAGTATGACAATCGATGAAAATATTATACTAATATCCACCTATTTCTTAATAGCCATTTGGTAAAAGTTTATATCAACTTGAGTGTTCCAATGTTATTTACAATTCCCATGCATTTTTGTTGTCATTGATGTTTGTTTATTGACTATGTCAATTCTTTATGTCTATAAATGCAAAAATGTGGTTCTTACGATACTACTTTGAACGTATAATTATTCACAATATAGTTATAATGTAAACATCCATATATATTTTTTATTATTTTATTTATTCTATCATCAATAACAACTAGTTTTAAGTAGATATAGTGCGTCATGAACTTAGTAGTTATGACAGTTATGATAGTAGTATGTAGTTTTGACTTTTTTAATAATTCATAAATAAATTCAAAAATTATAATTCATCGTATAAATTAAGTTAAGCTGATTTTATATCATTAAATCAAATAATAAAAGAAAATAAAAAGACAAGAGTCTCTTTTCATCCTTGTGGCTTTAGATGTTTCTTTCACTTTCTCACACAAATAATATGCATATAGCAATATCTTACACTCGTTAATTATGTTGTATACACTTAATTTTGGATCTAATGTATTTATAGTTTAAAGAATTTTTCCAAGTAGATGATATGACTACGAAAGTCGATTATACTATTTTATGGTATGTTATGAATTTAATTCATAATACAATTATTTAAAATTTACTCACGCACAATTGGTCGTGCGTTTCATAAGAATTAAAAATATTATGATCAGTTTGTGATGAGAATATTAATTTATTATAAACATGATTAATACCTACTTACCACTGTATAAATATCAGTATTTATTAATATAATTATTTGAAGAAATAAATAGACATATACTATTTGTGATAATTGCGAATTTTTAATTTAAACTTATCATTATAGTTGCAATAATATGCAATAATACGATTACAGCGCATAATAATTACAATCATGATAATTTAAATTTAAAATGTTTACTTTTTCCATAGTAAAACTAATAATTCTACAATATAAATTAAAAATATACACACATAAATATATATTTATTTTCAATGTCTCACTTTCGAAATGTAAATTAATTTTCCAAGAATTTATTATTTTTTATTATATCTTTGAGTACACAAACTAAATTCTGTGCAGATTTAAAAATAGAAAGTTTTCTAATATAGAAATCGATAAATGCCTACATTAATGGTTCAAAAACTATAATAAATTTGTTTTAATTTTAATTTTATATATTTGGTTGATTGTAGGGTGATATTGTTAATAGTATAGAACAGCATGTTTTACGGGCTGGAGAAGCTGCAGAGAATGCTAAGGTGGAAACTAAAAAAGCAGTAATATACAGCAGTAAAGCAAGAATGGTATGTATTTACAATGTAATTTACGAATCATATAAAATTTGTAAATTTCATTCAAAATACATACGAATAACAATATGATTTTCTATTAAAATCGTTTGATTTTGTTACAGAAAAAAATCATTTTTATGATGATAAGCTTTTGTATAATGTTATGTGTGGTAGCATGGCTGTACTCGAGTTTTTTTGATAATGACGATAACACTGAAACCTGAAATTTCTACTATTGATTATTTTTTTATATAACTGTTAAGTAAAATGTTCTGTGATATTTGTACAACTATGTATCAGTACAATTATAGACTAAAATAAATAGGTTAAATGTAAATAATGACTATGTTTTTAAATTTTAAATATTATACAATATAATATATGTATATATGATGTACCTATATTGTTTGTAAAATGGCGTATTTTAATAAAAGTTTAAAAACACATATATTTATCACATCTATATGAACAATTATATATTTACTTGTAGACCAGTCAAGATTAACTGATTGGGATTGGTAAAAAATTGCATCCAAATTGGTTATTAAAAATATATACTAATTGCATGAAAGCAATTTATGATCAATCTATATTATATCCTGTTGACACGTAATTTTTAATTGATTGTGCCTTTTTTTAAGACTAGTTAAAATAGTATTACATGTGCACATTATGAATAAACTATAATTTTTACTGTTAGTTTACAAATAAATCAAATGTTGCTGATCATTAATAAATTTAACTAATTAATTAGGTATGATATGTAAATAAAAATTAAAGAAGTTGTATAATTATTATGAAAAAATCTGTATGATAATTTAATAAAATCTTTTAAAAATATATATTGACCATTGTAGTTATCAAGTCATATAACTAAATAAATGTGGTTTAATCAATAGGAATTTCTAACATGTTTTTTTTTTGGAACCTTTAGTTAGTAACTACTATAGTTCAACAATTACAGATAGTGATTATATAAACCAACTAAGAAATTAAAATAACATAGAGGCAAAAGAAATTGGTGATAATTAAATGATAAGTATACAAAAGGTATTAATGAGAAATAATGATTATTATTTTGAATTCGGGAAGATATAATTAAGAAGAGTTAGTATTCTTAGATAGTAATGAGTTTCAGAGTGTGGATAAAAGTGAAATTAATGAAGTAATGAGGGAATGTAATTGTGTAACAAATTGAGATAAAATATTTGATATAGATTCAATATTATTAGAATTGTTTGAGTTGCTTGAAGTTGCTTCTGCGTATGTCTTGGCTCTGGATTTTTCTTTGTGTCGAGTGTGCGTGGACTGGCAAGACCACCTTTGAGGACACTAATGGTGGTACATGTGGCGTGGTCTTGAGGTAACCATTCTTATAATTCTTATAATAGGTGTTTATAAATTTCTTTAATGAAGGACAACCTTTTAAGTTTGCGGTATGTGCGCCAGAACATAATGCACACTTTGCAGGCAGTTTCGAAGATTTGACACAGTCCTTGGTTAAATGGTTGTTGCCGCATTTGACACAACGTGGTGATTCGCTACAGCAGGATCGAGTGTGACCGTATTGCTGTAGTATTTGCATTGAAGAGGGTAACGGGATTGATGCGGGTTTTTGATAAATATTTTGGAGTTAAGGAGGGAGGATAATTGGAATCATAGGTGCAATTTAGGGGGAGCTTGTGTGTGCTTAGCATCCCAAAATGTTTTCATGTTAATTTACATTTAAGTATTCAATACTCATTTTGTAAAGAAAACCAGAGTTTTTATTGTAAAAGTATATAAATTTATTATTTAAATAATGGTGGTGGAAGTTCGTCTTTCATCTCTTCAGTCTTCTAACTGGATAATAGTAGTAGGTAGGGTTGCCAGATTTTTAAATCCCTAAGCCGGGACATTATATTGAATGACTTTTTTTATTTTGATACGAAAATAAAATAAGTATATAATTTTGTAATTTAAATATTTATTGGCTAATACAAAAATACATTATTACTGTATATAACCATACTGATTGAAATATATATTATTGATTTTCCATTGATTTTCATATTGATAAGTCTGTTAAAGAAAACGTTATCAATCTAGCCAGTGTTTAATGATCTTTGATTACATTTTAATATTAATTCATTTATGCATTTCTGTGTATTTAAGATTGGTAATACAACGAAACTTGCATTTGTTTAACTTTTAAGATACTGTTTTTGCATCAAAGAAACATTTTGAAAATCCTGTTACACAAATTAACAGACGCCTACATTAGGCGGAATCAAGCTTGGATTAAGACATTTAGAGGCCTAGAGGCCAAAATTTTTACGAAGCCTTTGATAGAACTTAAATGAACTAATCTTTCATAAACACTGGTTAATGTGTAGTACCGAATTACAATAGCCATTTAATCTACTTTTGATTGGTCTGGAATGGAATCGATGATAAAAGAAAAATATTTTGCTTCTTTTATTTGAGCTAATATAAAATGTATAACATTATTTTGTAATAAAATTATTATTTCATTGCATATGGTTTTAGAAAGATACGAAGGATGTCCTTTTCCTTTATTACCGTTCTTTTCTATATGGATTTTAAAAATGGATCGAATTTAGAAATAAGTTCCAATAGGTGTATCAAGAACATTTCCATTGTTAGTAACACCAAATACTCCATTATCACCACTTAATGATAAATCTCTATATGTAAGAAATGTAATTACAGAAATTACACGAATCACAACATCATTCCAGTATTTTGTCTCCATTGATATTTGTTTCAACATATCTTTATATATTGAATAGTTAACATTTGAACGTAATAGCCATTTTGTAAATGCACTTCTATGATCAATACTGTTTTCATGTTATGATAATTTCTCATATTTCTTCCAATTATCAAATCCTTTGCTAACAAAAAGACTATTTAAACGACTTGAAAACAATTTACACATAAAACAATAAATGGATCCTTGTTTAATTGAGTACATTACCCACTTTCGATCACCAATTTCTCCATTGGGTAGAGTTCGTTTGAACATGGACGCCGTAAATAACCTTTTGTGATCTAAATATACAAAAATAAAATAATTGTATTCATTATTGGTTAAATAAAACTCATTGAATATAAATAAAATACCATATAAACGCGCAGACTGTTTGAAATCATCATTCTTATTTTGAAAAAACTCGGGTCCTTTCTGAGTACAGTATTCTCTGAAACTGTTACTTATTTTTTCAGGCCAATAGTATGGATCACGTATTTTATACTTGTTAAATATTATGTCAGAAACCAGATCAGAAATATTTGTCATCTCAAGTTTTATATCTGCAGTAGGGTGACCATACATCCTGTTTTTTACAGGATTGTCCTTTATTTCAGTATTGTGTCCTATTGTCCTGACAAACTTCTTTCAGGACACTTTTTGTCCTATTTTTTTGATCAAACGAAATTAATTTGAAAACGAAACTTACGAAAGTAATGAATAATGATTATAATTATAATCTTGTGATTGTTTGAATTTATCAGTATGAGAAGAATGTTTACGAGTTATCGGAACTTATCTGAGTTATCGAAATGACCATTTTGGAAAAATGGGGATATCAATTTGAACCACTAAAAGTTTTTCGTTGGATTCAAGTACTAGATTTTCCAATTTGGATTGACATTTAAGAGAGTTTGAAATATATTATTAAGAATAATCCAACATTGAAATTTAAAATATTTTAGAGCATTCAATGGCTATTCCCGGAACTAACGCGTCGGTAGAAAGAGTATTTTAAATTACAAATGTTTTATGGACATATGAGAAAAGTCGATTTCTCGTGGACACAATTAGATCGATAATGATCGTAAAACAACATTTTAAAAAATGTTTCTTGTACAGAATTTCATATATTTCTTTAAGAAAATCCACAATTATTAAAGCTAATTACTTCTTCAGAAAAATATGAAAGATCAAATAGTGAAAACATGTCTGAACAATCGTCATCAAAATGAATTAAGAAGTTTTATAAAAAAGTAAAGTACATGAATTTAATGTTATACAGTGTTATGAAAAATTGTGTTTTTTCACAATTAAAAATTAATAAATATATATATATATATGTCCTGTATTTTTTTTTTTACATATGGTCACCCTAATCTACAGTAAAATAAGTTTATAAATCAGCATTTTATTAATTATCACTAATTTTACTTTGTTCTTTTAAAACTATGTACAGACATATCTTGAACTTGGTTGTCAATACCTAAAATAAACACAAACACATAAATATAGTACAATTTAAAGCTAAATATGTTTTTTAAATGTATTACTTTGATCATTTTCAGTTAATAACAAAACATTTTGATTTGATTGATTAACACTACATTGTTCATTTAAAACTGTTTCCCTATGTACAGACACACCTTCAACTTGGTTGTCAATACCTAACTGTTTATTACTTACGTTAATCGTTATCATTACTATTATAATTTATAATATATTGTATTAGTTAGTAATATATTACTAAGTGTGCACAGAAAACAGAAAAACTAGGCTACAGTGATTGATTTTATACAATATTATTCTATAAAATCAGTTACATAGATATTTTATCTAATATATATCGTAGAAGTTTAGGCCACTAGATCATTAAATACTATATATGCTTATATAAATACATAATTAAATACTATTATTAAGTATTATTATTAGTATTATTATTATTATTATTACGTGTATGTATAACTTTTGTTAATTATGCTGTAATCTCAATTGCTCTTTATTGAGCGTAAATAAGCTATTATTATTATTAAATAGGCTGGCTATAAATGCAGCATTGATTAAATATCAATATTTAATCAATGAAATGCAGTATGTAGATTAAATTTAAGAGGTATTTAGTCAAATATAGCTGTTACTATGCAGAGAAGTATAGGACGTAGGATCGACATGAATTTTGGTTGAATTGTAATGATGGCGATGTAAGTACCCCGTGCATTCTGTAAAAATATTTGGTCGTGCCATATCGTGTTAAAAACTTTAAAAAACAAAAAAAAAATAATTAATTTTAGCGCTACCACATCAAAAGGATGGACAACAATTTATTTTATTTTAGTTTTTTTTTACTAAAGAAAAATGTACAATCTATACTACAAGCAAATATTACACTAATTAGAATATAATTGAAATGAGAAACATGATTGGTGGGAAGAGGCCCATTAACAAAACCTTATCATTTATTATCTAATTAACAATTAAATAATTAATGAGAACACTTAGTATTTATTGTAATAGGTCACGGGACTTGTCCTCTTATAGGTGTCATTCTAGGTTTTCGTGTAAGGTATAAGCGGGCATATATTTTCTAAATGGGCTTATGTAGGAGTCGAGCTTGTAATGGAATCCTATATCGTAGGTATGTGGTTGCTAATTCTTAAACGCCTTATCCAACGAGAACGCGGTGCGACGCGACGAAAAAAATTATCAATCATATAAAAACAGATTTGATTGTCCATCGTACACGATAAACGCGGACGACTCAAAAGAATTAATTTGGTCGCGTTTGCTGCACGATTTGAAAATTAAATCGTTTTGTTTTTGGTCGCACGTTTAAGCGAATATACATAAATGTTTTATAATCATAATATAAATAACGTTTTATTTATTTACGATTTATATAAGTTAATATTTAGCTTATATAAGTTAATAGATAATATAAATTATTAAATTATAATATATAGTATTTAATGTATAATATTATATATTTATATATTATTATTAGCATATGGCTCCGGCAAGCACTAAATAATAAATACAAAAAAAGATAAATGACAATAATATAAGCTACAATAATAGTAATAAAACAAATAAATAAAATAAATAGTTATAAATAGTCACAGCCGCACGCCTAAGTTTTTCATCCGTTCGATGCTCTCCTCACTGGCTGTGTGGATTTCCTCAATACCTCCTGAGAACTTCATTAACAGGCATTCTTCGACTATATGTTTGATGGTTTGCTTTTGTCCGCAACTACATATAGGAGATTCCACCATGCTCCACTTGTGTAAGAAATAATTGCATTTTCCCTGGTTGGTTCTAATACGATTTAGGGTGGTCCATAAGGCACGTGGTAAGTTGAAGCCTGGTATTTTTACCGTTGGATCTTCAACTAGTGATGAATTACGTACCTCAGACCCTAGCCAAATCTTTTTCCATTCAGCCTGTAAATCGTTAACGATTATATCTACATCCCAAACAGGGCGTTTATAATATATCATTAGAAGGCTTTTTTATTGAATATCAAATGATTTTATTTGAAATACCATAATTCCATATTGGTATTAAAATATCTTTTTGTTAAAATAAAATATTAAAAAAGGTTACCAAATCATATGCCAAGAAATTTTTCTTATTTAATTATTCAAAGGAAAAACTATTTCATTTAGATTTCTTATATAAAAAAAAAATTGTAAGATTTAATTTTCAGAGTCAGGACAATAATTGTAAATTATTATTTAAGGTTGATAGAAACTTTTTACTCACCGATGAAAGTTTGAAATAAATATCTCATATTCCATCTATCAAGAAGAAACTTTATTTTATTTTTTTTTTTTACTTCTGATAAGGCAAATTCTTCATTTGATAACATATCATTGTAAGTTGAAGAATCAGAGAACCATCAACTCTTGTCACATTTGGTTGGTTATTATAAATTATCTGTGAGCTACACAATTCATAATCTGTAGGAATGGTTACCCTTTGCAATTCAGTTATATCTGCATTATCACAATCTGAATTGCCATAACCCAAGGTTAAGTCTCCATTTACCACATCAGCCACAAAGTTTCCAATTATATAATTTTCTTGATTCATATTTTGTACTTAATAACACAAAATATAACCTATATTGTAATTAATTTAAGTATAAATTTTTTTTAACCATACAGTTTATTATTTATGTACCCCATATAATATTAATTAATAAGAATTATAATAATAATAATAATAATTATAATAATAATAATAATAATAATAATAATAATAATAATTATAATAATAATAATAATAATAATAATAATAATAATAATAATAATAAAAATAAAATATAAATAATAAAATAAAAGTTGTTTTAAAAATAATCTTTTTATCTAATCATTAATTTTCCATTAGGAACTTGATTAATATCTATTGGTGGACCACTAAACTCCTTAATACTGATTAAGGTCTTGGAAATTATATTTTGATTTTTGCTAACTTCATACGCTCTCATATGTGAATTATAAGAATCCAATTGAATTTGTTCAACAATAAAATATATAACATTATTTTGTACTATAACGATTTCAAGTATTTTATATAGGCATAAACTGTGTTTAAAACAAGTAACATGACTTACTATTTCATAAATTGTTCCTTTGAAGTCAATTTTTGAAAAAATAGTAACATTTGTAGATGACATGCTTAAGATATTAGATAAAAATTCAAAATCCGAATTAGTTTTATGTTTATCAAAAATTATAAACTCTTTGTAATGTTGTTGATTTAATAAAAAATGTGCAAATTTAAATGAGTATTTTTTTGCTAAAGTTAGACAAATATTTTTCCTCGAAGTTATTGCCCTTGCATACATTTTGAGTTCTTTATGTTTAGTCTCGTATTGAAAACACCAAAATGTCTAGGAGGCCCAGACTTCAGTATTATAGATGGATAATGGGTTAAAATATGATGTTTTGGTTTAAAGTTGTCATTGAAATACAAAATATAATTAGAATTATGTTTATTTATTAAGAAACGAGAATTAAACGAGAAATAGAGCTTTGTTGTGTCAACTCACGACTCAATAAAATTTCAATGATTTCTAGAAAGTTTATTAAAAAAATCCAAATTTCATCATCGTCTGGTATTAAATCACCTATCATGAGTGGGAAAAAATGAATAAAGCACATCATTTGCCTTGCTGACATTTTTAAGTGAAATTTAGATAGATGATGTTTCTTTATAGGAGGTGAAATATTTTGTTGTTCTAATTCATCATAGTTGAAATGTTGCTTTCGAAAATTCAATGTATCTAATGTTAATATTTTTACTGTCACTGTATAATAATTGATTATGTGACACATATTGTAATGACTGATGCCCTCAAATATGTCGTGCATTACATCAACACAAAAGTTTGTAGTAACATGAAAACAATTTATGTTATTTAAAATAATATTTTGACAAACCCCTGTTTGTAAAAAATGATTGATTTCTACATCTTGTGTATAGTTTTCAAAATTACGGGTTAATGTGGGATCCTCTTCGCTTAATGTATGTGTTAATGTTTTATGCGCTTTGCAAAACCTACAGAAATAATTTGCAGAAAATGCGACAAAAACGAGTGCGTCTATTTATCAGTGTATAGTTTGTACAAAATTTAGAAAAATAAAAAATTTAACATAACATCAAAAGATAACATCAACATCGTAAGTGTAAGTATTATAATGGGCTGCTGGACTGCGTGGATGGAGATTGTTTAGCCAAATCAAAAAGTACCATCGATTTTTTTGACCAGAAACCCAAGTACAGGGTTGACAGAGGACTTCGACGGTACTCCGCGTAAGTCGGCAACGAATAGACGAGTGGCTGTTTCATCGGCTGGTGCAAAACCGACACGTCAGGTGGTCCCGTTGGAGCGGTTAAAAGCGGAACTCTTAAAAGGTTCCGTATTTCATTGTATTTCTGATCGACTTGCGAGATTTCGGGCGATCCGTTCTGCGGGTCGATCGGTAGAGAGGGTGGCTGTCCACTTGGTTTGGATGGCGGGAGTTCGGACGATCCGTTCACCGGGTCTAACGGTGGAGAGGGTGGCTGTTCACTTGGTTCGGATTGCGGGGATTTGGGCGATCCATTTTGACCGAAAGGCATTAGTTTGGGTGGTTCATTGTTTAGACCAATTGGTACAAGTTCCGGCTGTCCGGCATATCGGACGGCGGAAGCGTCGTGGACCGTCCCATCAGGCTGGGAGGGGGGAGTTCAGGTGATTCGTTCGGACCATAAACCGGATGTTCAGTTGGTTCCGTCTGGTCGGGTGATTGCGAATCCGGTGATCCCGTTGGGTTGTACGACGACGGTCCATTTTCGCCGTCATCGGCCGTATCCTCGAACTCGAGACCAACGATGTTTTGTTCGTTTAGACGGGACTTTCGACGACGTTCGTCCTCGAATTGCTGCAGCGCGTTGTGACGGTAAACGCCGAAGCCGATGCCGGCGATTAACATGCACCATCGACTTAATCGGATCAATGGCGACACGTTCACCGGGCACAAGAACTGTCTGACCATACTTGAATGGTTATATTTAGTCACTTGGAAGTACACGATTTTTGTCCGATTTGGGTGGTTCGACGGATGGTATGCTAGGGTGGTTAATACCCGGGGAGGGGCGGGACACAATGCACCGTGTGCGTAGGAATTAGAAAAACCTAATGTATTTATGTACCGCCGATGCGACGGTGAAAATACCAAACGGTATGCGTATACCTGCAAGCAGAACAGATGATTGGAGGAGCTTTAACATTTTAGAGACGGTAAATCTAAGTGCCGTAGGTCAGGGGTCGGGAACCTTTTCGTAGGAAAGAGCGATTTTTTAAAAAGTTACAAAAACATGATGTCTAGAAAGCCGCAGAAATATTATCACCATAATATTGCACAATATAATTTATAATGTTTTACGGGTCTCGATAATGATACATTTTCTAAAGAGCCACAGATTGCATGTTGAGAGCCGCGGTTCCTGACCGCTGCCGTTGGTGAACAATTAAAATCAACAATAGTGATGTTCATAGAAATTTGAAATTTCTATATACTAGAATACTAATATTATATACTTATGTACTTATATACTAATATTATATCCCTTGATCTGATATAATTTCCAAAATATATTGACTTTTTTTGTACTTTATTTACTATATATTTTATTTCATATTATTTTTTTACTTCATAAAATAACAATTTTAATTATATTAGTACAGCGAAAAATGTTGACATACTGGTCAATGAAAAATAGGTAATTATTTCAAAACTATTTTTATAAACATTTGAATTTTAAAATTAGACAAAACTGGATAAAAATCAAGAAAATATGCCACACTTTTGTAACTCGAATCTCATCAAATTTTCAATTTTTATAATTAAAGCATGAAAAATGATTTTACATATCCTACTTGATAGTCAATAAAAACACTGCTTACCTGAAAAATATATGAAGAAACGCAAATCTTCTGTGAAAAAATTGCGTGTAAACGGCAACAATATCCGTCACTGACTTTATTAGGTATTTATAAATATAAGTATATATTATAATATATACTTATATTTGTGTATAGATACCTGGTTGAAAAGTAAACTGGATGCAACTGGAACGGACAGACAACAAAACAGTAATGATCGGATAATAAATTGAACGCCGGATAATAATCGAATCGTCATAACAATCATCAGTTTACAAGCATCGATAATAATACGAGCTAAATACATAATTTTTTATTTTTTCCCACAGACGGCCCTAGTACCTACTTATCAGGCCCGTAGCTAGATATTTCAAGGGGGGGGGAGGTTATTTAAAATTATTCATAACAAAATAATTACTTTACGTATACTTTATTGTACAAGCGTAGAAACACATAAGTACAGAATATCTATTTATGTATAATGTACTATTGTATGAGAAAGTATTTAAATATTTTATTAAAATTTCAGATGAATATTTTTTGTCATTTGTACCTATTTTAAATTGTGCATATATAACACAAAACCACGGTTTTGGTTTATTAGACATAAAGGTGTAATGAGAAGCCGGATTAAAAGAAAAAAAAACTTAACTTTTTAACAAGTTAATGTCTATCATAGTTGATATGTAACATTTTGGTACATAAGATTGAGAATTGATTAAAAACAATGCCAACTAGAGCGATATAATTACGAAGCCAAAAAATTTACATGATTGTGTGTATTTTAGACTCCGCCACCTGGTGAATAAATAGGAAATTCTCAAGTATCATGGAATAAACAACAATTTATCTGTGGCAGATAGTGGCTGTATAATCAAAGATGTTACAAAACTTTCTACCAATTTCGAGGTTATGTGTACGATTTTATAATTCATTCTTTAAATCGTGATTGCCTTTGATGTATTTACTTCTGTCAAATCTTTTTAGATTTCGTCTTATTCAGTTTTTTGGTTCGTAGTTAGTCAGAAAACTTCAAAATTCAACATGCAAAACGACGCAGGAGAATTCGTTGACTTGTATTGCCCAAGAAAATGGTAAGGAATTGTATGATGACCTGTCCATTGTAATTATCGAAGATTACATTTCGAGCCACATGGCAAATTGTTTATAATTTAATATTTTATTTATAGTTCAGCTAGTAACCGTATCATTCCTGCAAAAGATCATGCTTCTATTCAGATCAATTTGGCTGAAATAGACTCGTCAACTGGCCGTATTACTGGAAATCACAAAATCTTCACCATTAGTGGAGCTATCCGTCGAATGGTTTGTATAATGTATAATTATTAGTGTTCAAACGTATAAATTGTCAGTTTTTATAGGTAGATATTAATTTAAAAAAATATTACCTTTAAAACAATACATATTAAGTATGATTGTGATTTATGTTAGAAATTATAGTTTTTCGATTTATTATAATTAGGCTTGTCATTTATTCCATTTTGACTGGAACAGTCTTATTTTTAAAAGCATGTTCCGATATCCCTGCCGATTATTTAGTTTGTCCCGGTTAATAGAAGCTGAAAGAAAATAACATTTAATATTATATTATTTAATAGTAAATATTTAAATTACAAAATGAAATATTTATTTTTGTGTCCACCTATATGAACATTTTATAAAAAAAAAAAAAAGCCTTTCAATATGTTTTATTTGCTGTAATGTTTATGATAAAGGCAAAACCCTAATTATAATGTAATATGATAACAATTGTGTTATGCAGACCAATTTTTTGCTATCTTACTGATATAGGACTATTTTTAAAACTGATTGAAAAATAGATATTTATACAAACTTCCTTAGCATTCAACTCAATAGAAATTTGTTATAATTCTTTATTTGTCATTTTGTTATCTTAATATAGGATTGTATTTATTAATTAGGTTATTTTAGAATACAATATTAATATTAGATACATGAATACAAAATGGTACATAACTAGTTTCTTTATTATATGAAAAAAAATGATAATTATTATTGAACCATACTAACTGTAAGATAATTTTCAGGGAGAGTCTGATGACTGCATAACAAGGTTAGCCAAGGAACATGGGATTGTAGCAAAGTAAGTAAATATTTTTTTGTCTGTTTAAATATGAACTAATGATATTTGATCTGGATTTGTTTCAGGAATTTCTAGGGTTACTTATGTTATGAATTTATTCTATTTTAATATGTGAATAATAAAAAAAAGATCCAAAACTATTCAGTGTTTTCATTTATTAAATAATAATGGTATAAAATAGATCAATTCAGTTAATTAAATTTTGAAATATTTAAAATGTACATAAGAAAAAGAAGCTAAAATAATATCTAAGTAATTAATGTAGAAATCGACAACAATAAATATTTTTTTATTAGACTGTCGACTAATAAAGTTTTGAATTTTCATATAAAGGTTTACACAATTAAAAAAGCTAATATATTCAGTTTTTTATACTATATTTTATTCTCTTCCATTGTTTTAAAAATATAATGATTGCTTGATTTAGTGATAGTTTATTAAGTAATTGCACCTAAAATATCAAAAATAAATATATTGGATTCTTCTCATTAATTATTATTGTTATTATTATTATAATTGCTGTTAGTTATTCAATAATATTTAAATTTCCATTAACAATTTTACTGTCACATTTATAGTTAATGAACTAAGTATTATTATTTATCTAACTAGAAGGTATTATAACAAAACTAAATATAGATTCAATACAAAAAAGTATGTAATTTAAACAGACCAAAACAATTCATCTGGAGTATACTACTAACAATTTTGGCTTCTCATACCAGATCAACTCGCATGGTGATATTAAATTAGATATTTGCATTATTATTAATTTTAAACTACTTCAATCATCAAACATGACTAAACATTAATTTATGGCATTGATGATTGTAAATTTAAGACTTTCATAATTTGTCATTTGGTTTGATTGGAAATACTAGTTTAGCATCAATGATTATGCTCTTACATAATTATTGAATGTTTTTTTGCATTTTCAAATCTAGGGAAATAATAGTTATAAATATATATATATATATATATATACATATATATATAATTTTTTCTATTCATTGTTACATGTTATATGCAAGCTTCAATTTTTGATTTTATAATAGTTACTTTAAATGTCTTTAAATATTGATGTGCATATGTTTAATTCCAGATATTCTTATTTATATTATAATGGCTTAAAACTTTAACTAGAAGAAAAGAATAATTTATAAGCCAAGTAGAATTAACAAATAACAATTTACAATTCTTTCAATATAAACTTAAAATTGTTATACATTTTTAGCTTTCTCATAATAGAGATTAGTGCATATGTTTTAGTTATAACTTGAAATTCGATAAAAGTAGTATTCACAAATTAATATCTTCAAAACTGATATTGCCTAATTAACCAGAACTTCAATATTTTTAATAGTTTTTAAATACAATTTAGTAACAAAAGTTAATTTAAAATAAGTATAATTTTTATTAGTTGTTATTACAATGCAAACACTTGTGGCATTTAGAGTTACTTATAAATTTATTTTTACACAAAGAGCTATTTATTCCACATACATTTTGAAGTAAGATACTTGCTCATTACAATATTTTATATTAATATAATTTTTAAGTATATAGATGATAGTTGATATTTGACGCCGGCCGGTCAAAGTAATCTTCAATTTTCACAAATTATGCCATTGTAGTTTGCCTTGTCAAAATAAATGATAAAAATAATACTTATTTCTGATAAACTTTTGTTAAAAAATTGTATTTTAAAATTAGTATCAACATTGAACTCCTGGTTAATTGTTGTTCTAACTAGTTAAAATCAATTTTGACGAAATTGATTTGTGAAAACTAGTATTGACTAGTTAATATTAGTTTTGAAGAATTTTGGGTTTGAACTGTAACATATATAAAACTATTGAGATATATTTGATATTTAATACATTTTTTACTATTATGGTAATACGAAGGAATTGTATTAAAAATTGTAAGATATAGAAGTAAAATTATAAAAATGTATCTCTAAGAATAATTAAATTATTTATTGGTCATAATATTTTGCAAATGTAATTAAATTGAATAATTAGAATATTTGTGAAAAAAATATAGTATGTCTTGAACTGCTGATATTGATTTTAAAATTAAGTTCTCTCTATACAGATTTACAATATATTTCATTTTGGAATTTAAACAAAAACTTATAAAATAGGTATAATCATGATATCTGTTAAAATAGAATATAGCATATGCAATAATAATGACTAGGCAAAATAATTTAAAATATAATAATTAAAAGAATAATTTTAATTTAAATTGTAATAAAATAACTAGGGTTTGGTATAATTTATATAATTATATAATATAGGTACTATTAAAGAACAAGGACGATTGAAATAGATAGGTAACAAGATGTACACTAATATGTTATTGATGTAATATACTAGCTCCAAATTTCACCGGTCAATATAAATAATGTTTTATAGCAGAAATACATTTAACTAATTTATCATTTGGCTCTCCATTGAAACAGTTGGTTTTAAATACATTTTAATAGTATTTTAACAATATTAAATTATTTAAGTTGATTTATAAAAAAAATTAAAATTACAGACTACCATTGTACAATGAGAGTAGTGAGACATAGGTAATAATGTAATATTAACACTAATATTGTTATTATTATTGTATTACAATATTTTAATTTACCTTTCAATTTAAACATCTAAAAATAATGTGCAGTGTCGTCGTTTGTTGTTAGGTAACTTAGACAATTGCCTAGGGCAGTGGTCGTCAACCGGCGGCCCGAGGGCTGTATCCGACCCACATGTCTCTTTTATACGGCCCGCATTAATTTCCAAAACTAAGATATGTTATTGAATATCATATCAATTTTGTGTATTGTCTGGCCCGTGAATCCTTTTTAATTTGTGATTGTGGCCCAAGGGTCCAAAAACTACTAGAGATTCAAAAGTAGATTTATTTAAATTTTGAACATCTGTTGATTAAATATTATTAGAAATTGTTGGTAATAAAGTTTCTACTGAATAATCATTTTCTAAAGATATGAACACATTATCTTGAAAGATGTGATCAGTTGGATATACAAAAAGGTGATTTTGTACACACAGTGGCGTTATTGTGGGGAGGCAAGTGCCCCCTTGACAATTTTTTGAGAGATAAAGGTATAATTTTGCCCTCCCCCTTCCTCCCAGATAATCCAACAGTACAAATAGCACCTTTTATTAATGAAATCTTATAGGTATTATTTAACAATATTGGTACCTAGTACCTGCTACCTACAATTTATTTAAATCTAAACCACAAAATGAGTTAAAAGACTTATGTAAAATCAAACAATTAGATATACTGTATAAAATACATACAATAAAAATATGTTTTAACTGGTGTGGAGGAGGGGTGTCAGGGTTTGGTAACAATAAATATATTATATTGCCACCCCTAGATTTTTTTCAAGTTAACGCCACTGTGTACACATATAGTTGTTGAACTACAGAAATTATTTTGATATACTTTTTATAGCTATTAGGGACATCAGATTTATAATTTTTTAAAGATATTTTAATTGGCTTAAGATATTTATTCTGTTAATATCTTGTATCTCGTTTTATATCCCTACAGTATAAATTACAACCAAATTCTTGAGCACGCCCACAATTAATGAATTTATAAACGTTAAAAAATTATCGTTCAAGAGTAAATATAAGTTATATTTTTTTGTGTAATTTTAAAAATGTCTTTAATATAATATTAATTTAAAAATGTCAAATTCATGAAAAAAACTGATAATTTTTAAAACAATTAAATTTTTACATTTTATTAGTATTACCTACAGCATTTTATAGTAATCTCAGTCTTTGAAGAAAAATATATTAATACGAATTATTATATACTATTTGAAAATCGTTTAAAATGTTTTCCCTGTTCTTTTTTGGAGCCATTACAGCATGTCATTTTAATTTACTAAGTGTATAGTTATAAGATTCATCATGCATAAAATATGTTATGCAGATGTACGTCGTAATTATTAGGTAATTATTAGAAATCAGAATGAATCATAAAGTAATGCATTGGGGATGGTCTCAGAAAATAATTTCGAATAAATAAAAATTGAGCACAATGATATTATTAAATTTGTATTTCAATTTGTATATCAAATTTGTAATTGCATTTTTTTTTTTAAATATTTTATGTGAGCTATAAATTTGTTTTAGATAATTTAAACGCTAAATACGAAATTTTATTTTGCATATTTCAAAATACAATTTCTATTTTGCTTTTTTTTATCCTTTTAAATTCGTAGCCTTTAAAATATTTTTTCTTAAAAATAACAAACAGGTAGGTACCTAATTAGATTTAATAGTATTAATTATTTATATTTGTAATTAATTAATTTTAATTAACTAATTCTTCTTCATATGGTATAAGTTATATATTTATTTATATGATATAGCGACACGAGCGATCATGATAAGTTTTTTTAATGAGGGAAATTTAGATTTTATACATAATATTTTTTTTCCGCATATTTTAATATTTTTAGTGCATATTTAAGCGCTTATATGAATATTTTTAAGATCATATAACGCTTAGAGTTATAAGTTATGAGCCTTAATCATTATAAATAAATCCAGTGTATAATTAGTTATTTTAAAAAAGTAATAAGCTACTTTACTTGTTACTCATATAAAACAGTTATAAAATTTTTTTACTTTTCAGTAAAAAAAGTAACTACGTTACTTTAAAATTACAATTGAAAATAAAATTTTTATATATACATTTATCAGTAGAGCGCGTTTTAAGAGAATTTTTTTAATGTATATAAGTTCATTTAAATAAAAAATATACAATCGTAATTTAGCAACAAAAAAAAATTTTATTTTTTAACATTTAATTAAAATAATACATAAAAAAAAATTACATTTAAAATTATGCAACTTTACAGAAAAATTCTTTTTTTTCTTCTTCGTTTTAAAGGTATTTACTAACCAAAATCATTTTGTAGGTAGTTTTCATCTATAATAAAAAAAGAAATCAATTATAATTGATTATAATGACATTATAAAGTCAAAAAAATAAAACAAAAAAAACATAAAAATATGTAATATTGAAAACGTAAAATAAGCCCTTATAATAAAAATAAATGGTTAAACATTTAATTATGCAAAAATATGCTCTAAAATAA